AATGCAGTAGTTAGCATAAATGATGTGTTGAAGTTATAATCCGAGATAGAATCCCAAAAAATGCTTCATAATACTGATTAACCACCTGCTGTCCGGCCTTTGTAATTAAACGGCCGGACGGTGGCTTCTTGAATGCAGGTGGGCGTTTTTAGACGTCCTTTCCCATCCCGCTCGTGCCTGCCGCTAGGTCGCTTATCTGGGGGTCCCTAGGTGAAATTAGGGATCTGAAAGACCCCTGATGTCTTTATTAAGAGGACCAGTCACTGTATATTGGCTATCGCATTGTGATGGCAATAAAGTTTAAGTAAAAGTAAAACAAAATTAGTCATAAAAGTCCCCCGCCCCCGCATACACACGCACACATGCGTCGGGTGCACCTACATACAAAAACAATGATTGCGCCTCATGTGTTACAAAACACCGCGAATGTCGGAGTGTGAGCAATAATATTAGGGCCATCAATCACTGATAACACTAAACTCATGAGCGGTAAAAGCTTTTAAAGCGTCGCCTATGGCCAATTTTGGGCATGGTAGTTTTTTGCAATTTTGCTGGCATACGCAGATTTAAAACTTGACATGTTTGGTGTCTATTTACCCGAGAAGACTCCATCTTTTATATTTTACCAAACATTTGGGTAAATATAAATGTTTCATAACGTAGGGAAAACAGATTTTTTTCCAGATGTTTTGGTACTTTTTCCGTTTTATATAGTACAAAATAAAAACCGCAGTGGTGATAAAAATACCACTATAAGAAAGCTCTATCGGCCCCCAAAAAATGGTATAGAATTCAATTCAGTACAGCGCTGCATGACGGAATAAATGTCAAAGTACCGCTGTGCTGAGTACTAAAAAATGGCCTGACCAGGAAGGGGGTGTAACACCCCGGTCAGCGTGTAGTAAGTGGATATTTGGCTGATTTTGCATAGAACTTTCTATAAAATCTTTTTATTTGCCATTTTATTTCTTACCTTTGTCCCTAACAGGAGAGGAAAAAGACTATCGGAAACAACTAAAGCAGATGCTTAAAGACTTGGCCAGAGAGAAGGAAAAGAGCACCGAAAAGGAAATCCCCAAAATGACCCAGGTAACAGAACCTTCCATTGGGTTGTTACTCATGTCTGTGTCCTTAGTAGAGAGATCAACCTTCATTTTCTGTATTGGCAACACTGGACCCTCGGACAGGAAGGGAGGGGAATTAATAGATGGCAAAAAAGAAAGTGTGGCTTAGAGAAGTGTTATATCTGTTCTTATTATAGGTTTATTTATTATCAGGCTTTTATTATATGTTTTCTACCACCCTTCCTTTAGGGAAAAAAAAGAGGTGGATTTTAGATGAGTGGATCCTGTGGGAGAATCTTCACCTGGAGGTAAACTTTCTCTGACTCCCCGACTGTTAAAAATGGTCTGGGGCAGGGATAAACACGTTCTGCTCTATTGTCCTCCAATGAGACTGTTATGTTACCCAGGAAACAGCCTGTAGCTTCCATCAGAGGATTCTCACAAAGGTTATTTGTAACCACTTTAACAACTTCAGCCCTTGTACCTTCATACCCCTTATGGAGCAAAGCATTTTATACTTCTCATCCATTTAGGGACACGGGAAGTCTTAAACCTTCAGGTTATATAGCTGCCTACAGGAGGACTGGACTCTGGTAAACAAAAAAACAGAAAGCCAGCCCTGAGATAACCCCCCTATTCCCAGCATGCCTCAGTTTTGTTCTAGTGTCCTAGGAGGTTGGACATCTTTTCTCAGCTCTGCCGAATTAAGACTTTTTTTCTAGCAACCTTTTTTCTCTTTATTTGAGATTGATGCAGTGTGCATCAATGTGTAAAACTGGAAGGCGAACCTGTTGCTTCTTCCAGTGCTGTATCTGGCCTTGTGTCCTACAGGGCCCCTAAGGCCTCCAAAACCTTCCCGGCAAATCCTCTCTGAGTTCTCTCTGTATGAAGTTTGGAAGCACCCTTGTGCTTGTTAACATTATACGCTGTTAATGAGGAGTTTGTCAGTGAGTGGTATGTTCTGGTTGTGGATCTGGCCATCTCCTACCTTAAAAAGGCTCTTACTATTGTGTGGATGATGTCCCTAAATTTAAGGGGCCCACTAATAACACACCGGAAGCTTTTTGTCGGGCCATGTTCTCTTTGGCAGGTCCTGCCTTGCCCCTGGTTCTGGCTGTAATCTCCTATACCCTCCACCATTTCTAGGTGGCTTAGACAGACCTTTGTTCAGGCTTATGGTCTTGTAGACAAAGTTCCTCCTTTTTAAGTCCTGGCTTACTCCTCCAGGCCTGTGAGGGCTTCTTGTGCTTTTCAGCATCAGGCCTCTGTTTCCCAGGTTTTAGAGGCCACCAGTTGGTCTACAGTTCACAAGTTTTCAAAGTGTTACTAGTTGGACCTTTTGGCCACATCTGATGCCTGCTTCGGGCGTAAGGTCCTTCAGCCAGCTCTTTGAGTCCCCCATTCTTTTTTTTTTAACATTCTAATTGTTCACTTTTTGTAAAAATGTAAATAAAATGTGTAAACCTCACAACCACAACATTGATACAAAGCTGGTTATAAAACAAAGTAAGGCATGGTAAATACAGACATATGAAGAGGCCCAATGCATGGAAATACTACCACAATATGATCGGACCAAGACATAGTGTTTGTGCACCAGAAATCACAATCGTGTAAGAAAATCAAAAAAGTATAACTCTGTCAGCAACTTACTTCTCTCAAGGACCCTGTTCTGAACTCTTAGCTTAGACTCTCGTCCTCAGTGTCGAGCTGTGACCTCACTGGGTTTAAAAAAAACACGCTAAAACAGCGGTTTAAACCTACCTTTTTTTCTTTGCGTGCTCCTGCGCCGAGAATCAGGAACTGCTTGTACGGCCGCAAAGGATCTTGGGGCGGGCGCATGCGCAGTTTGGATTCTCGGCCGGGTGACGAGCAGAGGTGCAAGGTAAGTCTATGGACGCGTGCACCCGCAGGCAGACACCGCGGGATCGGAAGTGCCTGCAGGGACAGAGGAGTCAGCGCTGGATCGGAGAGCCGCCGCACCGCTGGAGGGACAGCTGAAAACATCAGGAAAGAAGATCGGAACAAGAGACATCATTTAAGGTAAGTGCTGACATTAACATGGGGGAGGGAAAAACAAATCTGACTTTAATGGCACTTTAACTTATGGATCAACCACAAAAAGTCCAAACTACCCCCAAAGAGAGGAACAGGTCACCCAGTCAACCCTTCATTTTTATAAGTAGCATTGTCTCAGAACACTGACTCAGGCCCGGTCCTACCGCAAGGCAAGTCAGTTTTTTACAGGGGGTCGGGGGCGCAAAAATGCACCTTGCCTGTGTAGGCAAGAATCCTAGCACCGGCCCTGTACTGACCAAGGGAACCATAAATTCCCCCGGTGTTAGTCCTTTTGGGGCCCGTTAGCTGTTTTCTGGCTGTGTTGCCTCTCAGTTGGACTGCTTTTGAATGAACTGAAAGTGTTAGACTTCCTGTGTCCCTCAATGGACGCAAAAGAAAACAGGATTTTTGTATTCACCATAAAATGTATTCCTTGGAGTCCATTGAAGAACATAGGTCTTAAACTTCAGGGTTTTTTTTCTTTGCCAGTGTCCATTCCTCAGGTAGGCTACAGGAACTTTGTGGAAGTTTTTTTGGGATGTATGGTCTGCATATTAATCCCTCAAATGGTTAAACAGTAACCTGTGTACAATACACTTACCCTGGAGCCCCCTCAGAACCAATGTAAGCACATTATAAGAGGAGGGTGACTACACTGCCTGATTCAACCACTCTGAGGGGAATCTATCACAACTGAAGCAGACAAAATCTGGAGCAGCTGTGCATGGCAACCAATCGGCATCCACCTTTCATGAAATCTTAGCTGAGCAAACTGAAGAGAGAAGCTGATTGGTTGCCATGCACAGCTGCTCCAGTTTTGATAAATCTGAGTGTCCAGGACTGCTTTTATCATTAAGGAACTGGGAATCTGTCACAAAGCAATCTTCTACTACCAGGGCAGAGACTTTATTAGCAGTTTGACGTTTATGATTTAAATCGGTTTGTATTGAGTGAATTTAAGATCGGAAGCGTCCATCCATTTTGCTTTGTAACCGCTCCTCTTGATGTTTGAATGTTTTGCTGAAAATGTGACTTCCATGAAATGATATTGTAACTTTATTTCAGAGAGAATTCATCCAATTCTGCAAAACCTTATATAGTCTGTTTCATGAAGATCCGGAGGAGAATGATCTGTACCAAGCTATTGCCACGGTGACAACCCTTTTACTTCAGATTGGAGAGGTTGGGCAGCGCAGCATTAGTATGAGTTCAGGAAGTGCCTCGGATGAATTTCTAGATTCAGAGAACGGTGCCTGCTCCTCAGATCATGACTGTGTTTTCTCTGAGATTGCCAGCACTCCGTCACATCCTACCCCATCCCTGTCACTAAGCCAAGCAGACTGGGTGGTGTCCTTTGAACACATACTGGCCTCTCTCCTGACAGAGCAATCACTGGTGAATTTTTTTGAGAAGCCATTGGACCTGAAACCAAAGTTAGAAAGTGCAAAGAGCAATCCGTACAGCCTGAAAATAAACGGAACGGGCCAGCAGCCCTCCATGTTATGCTGAACAAAGAGCTAGGCCTGTCTCCTGTATTTATAAGACTTCGGGCAGCTAGCATGATGAGAACTTTGCTGTTCTCTTTTTTTCAGCAAGTATTTATGTGTTTGTCTGACCAATCTGGCTCAGCAATATCTGACCTAATTGCTGCATAACGGACAATATCAACGTTTCCATTACTCTACTATAGCAGTATGCGGACGCCTTGGATACGTCTGTCCAGAAGAAAAGAAGCGGCGCTTACTACATCCAGCTTGGAGTCGGATGAAACTTGCTACTGGATTGTCCAAGATTTCTTGAACTCCTCAGTCGTGTCAGCCATGTATATGTGTCAGCCATGTATATGTGTCAGCCGATATGGTGATGAGTGTGAGTTTTATTTGTATTTGCTTTCTATATAGGAGTAAGAAATCAGCTGCAATACTCTGCAGCTGTATTTTATATTGAACATAGGCACATAAGACAGATATGGCAATATGACATTCTGTATTCTTGGGTTACCAAAGCACACTGGACGGTTTTTCATTCTTGTACTTATTAGCAGCACTTCTTTGTCCTGATGCATCTCTTCTATGAACCCTACTGTAGGTGCTGTGCTGCCCCTGCTACTTCCAGGCAACAAGCTGTCCCATTTCAAGGAGTATCTGGCATGCCAAACATTCAGGTGTATAGCTGGGGTTATGTCCAATGTCCTTTGTTTTGTATATGTGAGTTTTCATCCAATTTGTGTTTGCACTAATATTAATGTTTCAATGCTGGAAATTGAAACTTTTATTTGATTTGCATTGGAATTCATGTTCAAAAATGTCAAGTTGACTTACCCTGTGCTTTTTGTGTTGGTCTGTGAGAATCTGCACTTTTCAATAAACACGTTTTTATTATGCTTTGTGTGCAGCTTCTTTGCAGAGGTGGGGCGACAAAGGATTGTTCTAGTAAAACTCTATAAAATGTAAAGTGGGGAGATTCCCCCTATTTGTCCGGTCAACAGGACTGAAAGTGGGGGGGGGGGGACATTTGAGTTGTCACCAGAATAGAGGGATGTTCTTTTAATGGGTCAGCAATTGGCTGGGAGATTTCCTCTCACTTCCTATTGTGTCTACAGGAAGTGAAGGTAAATCTGCTCTATGGGGTACAGATGGAAAAAAGAAAACATGATTTCCGCCATTTCCTAGTTCATCCACAATGAAACAAGTTTTGGTTTTCCATATATTTGAAGGTAAGATATGCAGCTTGTAATACATCTCCAGAAAGAAAGCAGAGTAAAATAATGATAGAGTGAAGGAGTGTACGTGAATGACCAGAGAGGAGAGCGGGCATACATGGAAGAAGAGAATGATGATTACAAAGGGAAGGAGCACAGGTACAGAAGTGGGCCGAGGAGAGTGAACATGACAAAAATGGGTAAAGAGCACTACATTGGGCAATACACAGTGACTGGTTCAATGAGATGGAGTAGCACAGAGATAAATGATCTAAAGGTCAGTCAATCAATAAAAAAAAATCCCAATTAGATCTACCTGTAAATCAGTGACTACACACTGTACCTTCCCCACTGCTCGTGCCACCAGAATGTCAGTTGATTAAGAGAAATGATGGCATCAATGGTCTAGGTCCCCTTCTGCGCTCCATGGTTGTTTCTGCTGACCTCCACAGCACTACTTTGTCCCAGGGAATAGAAGACATGCCGGGTCACATAGGAATTGCTGTTCCTCCCTCCTGTGAGCAGAAAGCACATTCCCACAGTTTGTCCCCAACTCAATGTAGAAGGTGGGGGGAGTGGCTAAGGTAGATACTGCTAAAAGACAAGGACAGTTGTGATCATGTTTTACTTTACACCCCACATATGGTCTGAAAGGTAAACTTAGCCGGTGATACTTTGAGCTTCTCCTGCAACAAGTATAGAGTAAGGAATTTTAACATTTCTCTGACATTTAGCTGTAACTCAAAGCAATGGAAGCCAAGCAACTAGCATTTTAAGAAAAAGGCCATAAATGACAGGCCACATATTTCTCTCATGACTGGTATACTGCAAAAATGCACCTTCCCCTATGTGCCCCAGTCCTGTCCCCAAATACCTTATTTTCCTACTTTATTAGTAGGCCACGTTTGACGTCATTGGTTGCTAGGACCACCCAGCGGTCCTAGCAATTAATGACTACGGCGGAGACTGACACCTGAGGTCATTTATTGCTAGGGCACCAGTGGTTGCATTACTTGCCCCTATCAGATTATCAATTTACGTATGTGTGTGTGCCTACACAACACAGTAATGTGTTGGCCCTCCGCAACAGTCCCAATTTGTAATGTGGCCCCTTGAGAAAATTACTTGCCCACCCCTGCCTAAAGGTGCCCATACACTGCACGATAATCGTATGCGATCGGTTTTTCGTACGATAATCGAGCAGTGTGAACGGAGACGTGCGACCGTTTCTACTCTACGGTCGCACATCTTCTGTCGAACCAGCATGTTCGAAAACCAGCCGGCAATCGTATGATTCTCGGCTGGTTAGAACGGTGCTCGGAAGACAAATGCCGAACGGGCCGGTGTGCGCACGCGCACACTGCCCGTTCAGCATTGCGGTCATCGGAAGCCCGCCCCTCAGGGGGGCGGGCTTACGATGATCGAGAGTGTGATCTGCCTGTCCAAGACAGGCAGATCGTACGTTTTTTTAAATCCCTGTACAACCATCGCAAGACTAAAGTACTAAAGTCTTGCGATGGTTGTAGAGTGTATGGCCACCTTAACCCTCACCTTACTGTGAAAAATCTCATAGCTTCAATCACTCAGCACACAAATGTTCACATAATGAGGGGCATTTATCAAAACTGGAGCAGTTGTGCATGGCAACCAATCAGCTTCTCTTTCATTTTCAAATCTTAACTGAAGATAGAAGCTGATTGGTTACCATGCACAGGTGCTCCAGTTTTGATAAATTGCCCCCAATGTTTTTATTTGCATTGTAAAACAACAAAAAAAGAGCTTTGTAGCATGTACAAAAACTATTTGTCCTCTGCACTGAGGCACACAGCTATATTACAGCTGAACTCCATGCAAAGAGCTAAATACCCCACTGAAATACAGAGATCGGGGTGGTTTTGTCTACTGTATATAGTGCAACCAGGTTAGTGACCTGCCTGAGGCCAAAACATCCTCCTGAATGAAGTTGGAAAGAAAAGACCAGGTGGCAGCCGTGAGCTTTTCATCATTAACAGTTTCCCGGCTTTTCAAGAAGCACTCGCAGATCTAGTACTTTGCCTTGACAGGAGCGGAAGGAACCCGATCCTTGACACCATAAGCTTGAATGATGGTCGGCTTGAGCCACCTAGAGATAGAAGCCAGTGCACCCGTACAGGGAGCACCCAGGATGACAAAAGTATATCGGCCTTCCTGAAAGAAGCAATGGCTGACAAATAGACTATCAGAGTCCAAACCACACCCAAGCAATGGAGGGAAACTTTCTTTTGGTGAACCGGAGCCAGTCCTTTGGTAGTTTCCTCTCCAGCAAAAACAGGGAGCAGCAGAGTGGTGACATTGACCAAATCCTCTCAGACTAGCAGGTAGAGAGCGGTGCCTTTTAAAACACATATGTACATATCTGAGGCCGTCGGCACAAAAGCGCACCGATGTTTCTTAGGCGACATTCAAGACAACGGGGACATTTTCACAGGTATGCGTTTAGGCAAAATGAACTTTTCTAGATGTTCGTGTAACATGGCAAATCTTTTTCTGAGGCTTTGCTCAATTTAACACGGAACAGGGATTGCAAATAGCAGGCGTAGGAAAACTCCAGGCCTTCCGCTGTAGTGAAACTACAAATTCCATCATGCGCCCCTGCGAGTCATGCTCGTGGCTGTCAATGCCTAATGGAATTTGTAGTGGTTGAAGGGCTGGGGTTTGCCTATTCCTGGCATAGAATAGGATAGAGGCGCTCAACCAGTGTGCTTCAAACTGAGTGTCATGCCTTTCCGTGGTGCAGGTGGGCCGGGCACCATCATCGTGGAATGAGTGCCGCTCCTGATTTAAAGGGGGAACCTTCACTTTTTTTGCCTGGGTTCCCCCAACCTGAAAATGCTTACCAGATTCCAATCTAGGATAAGGATATGGTATGGAACTGGAGGACACACTTTTGCTATTTTTTTTTTTTTTTTTTGGACTGGGGTGCCTCAAGATTTTGCATACTTTTAAAGGGTGTCATGACTAAACAAATTCAGAAACCGCTGGGTAGAGATTTAGGGTTTAGTTCTACTTTCTTTTACTACCCCAGACATAAGTGTTACGTTGAATTAAAACTGCTTGCAGCTAGCCAGTTCAGTAACCCTTCCTTACACTCCATTACCTTAGGCTATAAGCTTCTGGTCACTTCAGCAACCATGAACTCATAGAACGGTCCCCTAGTCTCAGGTGATTCATGAATATCTGACAAGCTTTCGATCGCAGGCATCCCTGCCGTGTGCCCTTCCTTAGATTACCCCTTGTGTGCCTGCAATCAGATCTACACTACGGACCCTCCAAAATCCACGGTTTGACCGCAAATGCTCACTACGCTCAACTTCTCTCATCAGAGGGAGGTTGTGGATACAATATTGTGGGCACACTGCATGGCAACATGTGTTATGTTTACCAGTCCCTCAAGTTTCCTGAATGAGCTCCCAATGAGTGTTCAGTACTGAACATTTCTAGGCCTGTTTGCAACAACAAGCGTGCTGAACGTGTTCAATGACAGGCAGTGTTGACGTGTATCTCGGCGCATTGCACTGCTTACCTTTTTTAGGTCAGAACTTTATTGAAATGTGACATTTCATGATGTTTAATCAAACTACAACACACCCTTTGAAACAAGGCAAATTGCCTTACTAGTCTGTGTGTTGAGGCTGCGCTGGAAAAAGTAGCAAACGCAGCCCCAACACTCCTGGTGTGAATGAGCCCTCCAGGTTCAGTGAGCGCTGGACAGAGGAGATTGAGGATTCCGTCCTTGATCGCCCCCTGGTGACAGTACTGGTTAAACAAAACACCCTCATAACGTACACATGTGGTAATGCATGTTATGAGTGTTTGTGCACTGCATAGCACACACACCAAGGGCCCATTTACACCATTGGGCTAGGGTTATGGTGCACATAATGCTTTTGTGCATGTGCACTGCGGTGGTTTTTTAATCCAACAGTGCAACACGCATACCTGCATAATTTTATCTCAACGCAGTGCACACAGCACCCCTGTAGATCAGGCATTACCACAATGCATAGATGTGAAGCTAACCTTCAGATTTCCTTTGAACTGAGCAACTTGTGCTAGTTTTATGTACCTTTGATTTTTAGTTTTGCAATAAGTAGTAATTTAAAAATCAAATATTTGTTTATTAATCCAAGTTTGGTCTTTCAGATGTAGGAGCTGTGCAAGTTACATTGTCAGTGTGCGCTAATAATGATTTTAGTGTATTTTTATAGAACTATTTGGATAAACATGTGTGCAACTATTGTGGGATGAACTCAATGAGCACCACCATCTTTTTATTGTATGGTCCTGTTCTGTGTGTGAGGGGGGGATGGCTTACAAACTTTTGTATGTAAAAAAAAAAAATTGTGAAACATGAAAAAAACAAACTGGAAAATGGCAAAAACACTCTGGCCTGGCCACCTGAGGTTACAAGTGCACAGCCCAGCAGGGCAAGGGTAAAAGGGGAACCCGTCCAGAAGTGTGTGTGACGCCAACAGCAAGCTGCGAGGGAGGGGGGGGGTGTTTCAACCTTATCCACTGCACCCTCTCATCTACCAAAGTGAATTCATGAGTCACAACAAAAGGTGCATAACTGGTCAGGACAGACAAGCAGAATAGATAAGGTCCAATCATCAGCCTGCACAGGGAAAACAAGCAAGCTTACCTGCACAGTATGAATACAACAAAGTGAATGAAGAACACAGACAAGGCTGCTCGATTTTAATTTTTTTTTTATTTCAACAATGAAAAATGAATTTAGTTTTCATCAACATTGACTGTCTGTAGACCTGCAAAAGAACAAAGGATTGAATGAATACACCATTACCAAACATGTATTGCACAAGATATAACACAAGATATAAAGCAATACAACAAAGCCTTCCAATATTCATTCTACAGATACGTATCACCACATGATCCTTCAGGTCTGGCTTATAGGGAGAAAAAACCCCACGCAATCTACATGGCTCCAAGGGGCAATGCTGTTACTGTATTCACCATCCCATCCCATGGGATTTGTGTATCACTCGGCTGTAGATCCTCAAATCATCTCTGAATTCATACTGACACTGCCCTTCCTTCTGGAGGGTGGCTACTTGTGTTCCCTGTGTGCTGTAAAAGTAGTCACCGTTCCAAGCTCACCCCTGTGATGGACTACAATCCTAATACAAATGAGTAAGCTAAATGGGAGATTGCAGTAGCGAGTCACAGGAGCGAGCTTGGAGCGGTGACTACTTTACAGCACACACAGGGACCATGGGGAACAAAAGTAGCCGCCCTCCAGAAGGAAGGACAGTGTCGGCACCAATTCAGAGATGATTTGAGGATCTACAGCCGAGTGATACACAAATAAGATACATTTCTGTTACTAGTTAGGGTACTTGAATGTATTTTTAAAGTTTACCTCCTGAGATTAGTGTTACTCTAAAAATATTTTTGTTATGAGAAAAATATGGTGGCTGCCATTGCTGACCTCCCTCTTGAAAATGCTAAATCTCTGGCTTCAGACCCAGAAGAAGCAAGCAGTGACATCAGCAGAGAGCAATACCATTCACTGAGTGATCCCAGAAGACAAAGCATTTCCTAGTGACAGGTCATAGCTTTACAATCCTTGGTTAGCATCTGCTGGTCTAGTCACATTCCCAATGTTTTATACATGGGATAGAGATCTTCTACACCCCTTCAGAATTCCTTAGGATAGTTTCAGATCATGTTCTTCCTGGGACAAATAACCCAAGTGCCATCTATAGCCCACTTTAGGGGACAGCTAAAGCCCTTGATTTTTGACTTCATGAAATTTACTTGAAAGTGACAACTGTGCTCATACATTTCCATTATTCTGAGATCCAATGGACCTAAAGATAGTTTTATTTAATGATACGCTGAGTGTTATTCTTCTACAAATGCAAACATTCCCTCCAAAGAGGAAGAAACTGTTGATGGTGGCTTGATGGGTGGACGGGGCGAGTGTCTGGTGGAGCACAGAACAATCTTAAGGGAAGTACAGCAGGGGCATGTATGAAGGTGGAGCTATGGTGAACAGAAGGTGTGATGGCATTTTAAACTGGATGCAAAGGCAATGTTATTTTGGATAATGGTGAGGAGTGTTATCTGTGTCCCCGCTACAGAGGACCACCCTCTCTGTTTAGGTGACCACTGTCACAAAGAGAAAGGAAAACCCAACATTTTAGAGTTGCCATCAGGGCAAGAGGAGGGAAAATCTAAATGAGGAAAACTGTTCCTCTGATAGCTCTCCAACATGAGAATTCCATTCCTTTTGGAACGATTCCCTCATTTCTTGTATTTCCAGGACAGGAAGTAAAGGGAAATCTCCCTAATGAGACGCAATCCGCATAAAATAACCCAAGAGGCGTTTTGGCAGCACTAGTCATAAAAAAATTGTCCATGAACACAGGTCCTCCCTGCTGTGGGAAAGAACAAGAGTTCATACCCTGCCAATGTATGAGAGGTGAAGCTGCAGCTTTCTGCACCAACCAGCACACAGTGACGGGGTGGACCCTAAGCTGGAAGGTTTATTGCTTAGAAGACACCAAAACTAACTCCTTGATCAGCACTCATGAAATCTTAGACATCCAGACCAACATTTAGCAGCGTCCGTTAACTGGGCAATAACTTCATTTGCCTATTTTTTTTTTTAGACCAATAAATGCCCAAAATGTTACTTCTTACCCTCACTGTATTGCCGTCTAACAAGTGCAACCTGCCGGCATGAGCCGTCACTGTGCTAGCATGAGCGAATGGTTGCTACTTCTACACCCATATGATCATATCAGAGCCATCAGTGAGATTAAATGGACAGAAACTACCCTCCATCAGTTATTCATTATAGGGGACTCAAAGCCATCATCGAGGTCTAAAAGGAACGCACAGGCTACATTCCGAGTTCTCACAGCATGGGTATCACACCGGAGACCATAAAACAGACTGCAAATACCAGCTGGGTACAGAATGGTCACATTTTACTGGCACTAAGGAGCAAGCTTTGCTATGACAAGCAGACGTCAGTACAGAACAGCTCTTACAGCAAAGACTTTGTTTATAATAGAACTGAAGCAAAACCTTTTTTCTTTAGCTGTGGATAGAGGGAGGGTTACAAACCTTCAGATTTGCCCCATTGGGGAGATTTCCCTTCACTTGCTGTCTGATGGCCACGACAGGAAGTGAGAGAGAATCCCTCCAAAGAGGGAAATCCCTGGTGGTCAGCAGAGTCACCAGAACCAGTATCCACACTGGAACATTTCCCATCTATTCCTGTTCTGGTGACAATCAGAAATGTGGGATTTTCTTTCACTTTCAGTGATGACAGTCACCAGGACAAAAAGGGTGAATCTCCCCAACAGCAATACCGGTAATAATAAAAAAAATCAAAACCTAAATCCCTCCAAAAAGGTTGGGCTTCAGTTGCACTTGAACACAATTAGAATGCAAAACTGGTATAAGTGTTCATGACTCGGCACAAAGTATACATATCAGTGAAGATTCTAGCAATCTAATCACATACCTTCTTGTACCTGTACAGGGCAAAAAGGATATTCCTCATGTGTGTTGGGGGGCAGTACCATATACCAGGAATGTGTCACGTTACACTTCATTTGGATACAGCGGTGCATGGTTTATTACAGTTCACATGTGCCTAGATGCAGCAAAATACTTACACATGCTTAACAAGTAAAAGCTTTATCACAAGCCATCCCTGACCTCTCCAGCTCCATGGACTCTGAAGTCTGGGTTCAGTTGGCCTCCTAACAGCAGCTGCCGTAGGTTTACATTGGAAAGCTGCAAGGCTGCCAAGACCCTGCTGCTATAGAAAATAGGGTGCCAAGAACTGGCATTTCAGTGCCAACTAACATTTGAGAATAGATAGAGCAGTGAAGGGTTAGAACACCTGTCAGGTTTTCATTGCCATCTGAGACCCAGTTAGGCAGATTCATCCTCTAATTGTCCTCATCACCAAAGTCATGGTAAAATGAGATGAAGTATGGAGGCTGCCCTGCAATAGGGCTGCAGCTAACAATTATTTTCATAAACACTTAGTTGATTAACTGCGATCGGATTAAAACAAAAACATCCTTAACTTTAAGTAAAATACGCGGCGATACCCGACATGTGCAGTGCAATTGTCGGTTTTCTATGTAGGTGGGTGCACCCAACTTGTGTTTCTGTTAGTATACACGCGTTCGCAGCAGGGTTGGGAGACTTTTAATTTTGGAGGGGGGGATATTTTTTTTTACCTCATTGCCATCACATTGGAGGTGACAGGTTCTCTTTAAGGTGACATTAGAGGTCTTTTAGACCTGTAGTGTCACCTTTACACTTCACTGGATTTAGCTGCCGAGGCAGCGCAATGTCAACACAGCATGCAGTGAGGTTGGGGCAGCGGGGACTGCAGAGTCAACGGGCTCTCCTCCCCGCTGGTGCTGGCTGCAGTGGTCTGTGTCCCCATTGCCTCTGCAAATACAGGCGTGGATTGAAAAGGGACACAGACCGCTGCAGCCAGCACCAGCGGGGAGGAGAATGGAGTAGTGCAGCGGTAACTAATCAATGAGAATCGTTGCCAACAATTATCGATTATAATAGATTAGTTGTTGCAGCAACAATGCAAGCCTCCCGAACATTCTAGATGCCTGCTTGTGTCTGTGTAGTATGTTTCAGTTACAATCACAGAACAAACATGCTGTAAATGAGTATCAGAACTACTTATCTCTCCTACACTTGTTCCAGCACAGTGTCAGCATTAAAGTCAAAGCATCAGAATGATAGACAGGGAATCTCGAGGAGAGTTCAGTAATGACAGCCTCCATTAACCTCTCATGACAGGGTACCTTTAAAGCCTGCTGAGGCAGCCATGAAACCTTCCCCTCTGCTGCCCACAGACCAGTAAAGCCAATCTCCTATAAGCATTCTATTGTAGTACATGAACAACAACATGTCTAAGGTGGATGTACCTTTGTATGTAGTAACTGGCACATATGTGACCAGTGTGTACAGTTTGTTGGGGGAATCTTCATCCTCATTACGCTTCCTGGACAAGCGCACACGAATACGGTATGGAACATTTCTGAGGAAAAACAGGAAATATACATTACAATTCTGTGACAGTATTATAGATGTCGGCTAAAAGTTCTAGTCACTATATATACACACATCTGAATGTTATCGCTTGCTGCAAATTAGCTCTAGCAAAATAAACCCAATGTTACTACAAGATGAAAGCTTTAGGCTCTGTTCACACCTAGGCATATTGAATATGCGCGTTTCTACCGCGATTCGCGGTAAAAAAAAAGCACGACAAACGCGCGTTTCTGAGGGCTACTTGGCTGTATCCCAATGGAAACGCGTGACAAAAACGCCGCAAAGAAGCTCATGTACCTTTTCAGGCGTAGGCCGTTTTGTAGCGCGATCAGACGGGCTGAAATACGGCAAGGTGTGAACCATACCCATAGAAAACAATGGGATTTTCATGTTTGAGCGTTTTGTAGAGCGTTGAACGCGCTACAAAACATACAGGTGTGAACCAGACCTTACATGTCATGAGACTCCAATAACTACTCACCGGATCCCTTTGGCCCACACGGCTTTGTTCAGCCTGGTGTCAATGCGCACATCAGGAGTACGCATCTCTTTAACTGCGAATTTGCGGATTTCCTTCAGAGCGCGGGGAGCACGTTTCTTAAAGCCACTGAAAAGATGAGCAGGAAAATTAGTAAATGTATGCAGTGTATCCAGGTGTTAAATAAAAGGCTAGGAAAAAGGTAAACAAGACATTCCACAACTGTGTCACTATAAGATGCTACAGCATTTAAAACCAGTAACAGCAGAATAGAGGGGGAATTTATTAAAACTGGGAGCAGATAAAATCTGGACCAGTTGCCCATAGCAACCAATAGGCTTCTATCTTCAGTTAAGATTTGAAAATAAAAAAAGAGAAGCCGATGGGTTGCTGTGCACACCTGCTTTAGTTTTGATAAATCCCCCTCAATGAAATGCAGAAACGAAGACCCCTTTCCCAGTTTAATACTAGAGAATGAAGAGATAGAAAATGACTACGACCCATCCAGAAACTTACATTCCATGGATCCGCTTGTGAATATTGATGGTATACTCCCTAGTAACTACTTCATTGATGGCAGAGCGGCCCTTTTTCTTCTCGCCTCCCTTCTTTGCTGGCGCCATCTCTGCAGACACAAGAATGACACATTAGCAAGCTGATGATGCAAACTGTAGACTGGCACAGCCAGGGCTTATAGGAACGAAGGGGTGGCAAGACGCACCAGCGCTGAGACACACCACGGCTGAAAGACACACTAGGAGCTCAGTTTAAAATACTTCCCAGTGACACCATCACTATTGTCTATGATGATCAGGTTACATGATGGATACGCTTTCTGCATATTAAATGTTAATTTTAATAAACATTCAATGATAAAGACCCAAATCCTATAGTAGAGAAAGTGACAAGTTCACTGCACAGCATCCTTCCTGTACGCACCGTTCTCATAACATGGAGCTGCCTGCTAAGCACCAAAAAGACCAGGTAATTCCAGGCATGAGACACGTACCCTTCCCCTCTCAGTTCAGTGCTTGCTGATCATGTGACCAATCCTGAACGCTGTCACATGAGGACATGGGGAGCTTGTTTAGCCCTGGGTGCATTTTGAGCTTCATGGTGTTCTGCAGGATGGGTAAGAGATGGATGAAGGAAGCTGCTGCAGAGCCTAGTATAAGCAAAGTCATTATATGCGAGAACTGAATTCACTCTGCAGAGTGCTGTATTTAGCTCTACCAGCATACAGCCGGTGATGTGAGAAGTCCTGAGCCGCATTCTAGGGCCATCTACTCAATAAAACAGCAACAGGAGGGGGACTGCCAGGTAACTAGCAATGCAAAGTGTCTCATGTCTTCCTGGACCCAGGCATACCCATCCGATATGACCAATGTATCACCACAGACCAGTCCTGGGGAGACGGTGATCACGAGTGCTGCACTTTATACAGATTTTATCTCTAGGGTCTGACACAAGCAATCCTACATTTCACATCTATGGCAAACTGTCCCAAGGACCTGTCTCTACCTACAACGACCAGTGCAGGGAACCAACAGAGATGTACCACCAGGGCTATGTATATAGACTGTACAAGCAAGCACTTTATACTGATCAGACCAAAACTTCTATCAGTCAGGCCTTCCAAATGAGTGTGTGGTGACTAGGAGGGAAACGATAGGAATAACACTACATGATAGCAGTCCCGGGGGGTCCATCTCCCAGTACCCCCCAATACTAGCGCCGACGGGAACCTCAGACACAGCGGCTCCTCTTCCCGGGGGTAGCGGGGCTGTGCGGGCTACAGGACAGGAGGATGGCAGCAGATACATTCACAGCACAACTCCGGGTCCATACTCACTCGTCTAGGGACAATGACGGAAAGGAAGTAGAAGAGGATTGTGGGACAGATGTGTACTCGTACAGCAGAGAAGTGCTTCCGGGTCCTGTACGTAGTGACGTTCGGCGTGTGGCAGCGCCTGTCTTTAGAAGTAGCAGGTGGAGGTCGAAGCTGTTCAAGCGTGTGTAGTGTGCCCGGCTTGTCAATAATCACGTAACTTCCTCGGTAGATCTCGGGATCCAGCAGGCGCTCGTAATGTTGTCGTTAGTCATTTGTGCAGCTTATAGCCACTTAATGGGCGCTGAAGACAGCGACTGGGATCATTGGAAGACTGCAGCTACAGCCTCTGGCCACTAGGTGGTGCACCAAGGTGATGAAGTCAGTGGCTTGGACTATTGAGATTGCGGCCGCTGTCCACTAGGTGGCGCTCTACACTAGATGTGCAATAATAAGTGAATAGATTTATAGATTAACCCCTTCATGACTGAGGCCTTTTTTTTTCATTTTTTGCACCTATGTTATATTCCACATTTTAGGCTTAAAATGACTTGAAAATGACTTAAAACTATATAATAGCGCAACTCCTTATTAAACCCCAACATTTAGTGAAAAATTTAATTAAATGCCCCAAAACACAACAAAATACCCATTTTTAAAATGAAATAGAAAAGATGAGGTTACAACGATGCCCAGGTTACAAATTGCGTGCGTCCGTGAAACAGCGAAAAACTGCAGTACACCAAAAAGTCCATAGAAGAAGCTTTAAAAGCCCCCACAGGTCATCAATTTAGAGATACCCCAAAATACTGGCCCTAGAATTATTGCTCTCCGTCGTGCGCGGCAATACCCAACATGGTTTCATACGTAGGCGCACCTGACGTGTGTTTACGTGGCGACGCGCGTGCTCACGGGGGCGGAGGACTTTTAATTTTTTTTTATTATTAGATTTATTTTATTTTAATTTAAAAAACTTTCTTTTTTTACTTTGACTGCTATCACATGGGGGGGCTTGCAAGCCCCCCAGGTGATAGCAGATGGTGGTGACAGGTACGCTTTAAGGTGATCACCTTTACACTGGAAATAAGCTATTGAAGTGCAGATCGCACTTCAATAGCTTATAGCTGGGCCCAGAACTGACAGCCCAGGGACCGGAAGTGATGCAATCTGCATCGCTCCCGGTCCCATAGAACGGGGAGGGGATCGATGAACGGAAGTTCGTCGACCTCCTCCCCAGCTCCCTGCGGACACCAAGGAAGCCGGTCCCGGGCCCATAGGAGGGGCAACGGACAGGTAAGTGGCCAGAATCACTTCTGTTGTAAAGCCGACAGTCGGCTTTACAAGTTTAAACAGACTCCCGGCATCAATAGCCGCCGGAAGCCTGTTTAAACAGCCCCGATGCTGGCGACGTACACTGTACGTCGTCAGTCACGAGGGGTTAAGCTCAGTTCACGATTAGATGTTAATCGTTTATTTTATCACTTGACACTTTTCTCCTAATATTCAAATCACAGACATAAATATGGCTTCGGTACGCTGTGAAATGAATAAACAATCCAACTATCCTGTGAAGTGTTATTGTATCCCATTTCAAATTTATTATTTCAGTCATGTGACTAATTCTTAAATCTCATTAAAATCAACTGAAGATAAATGTTGTTACCCTGGTGTAATCCACTGATTACAGAAAGGAGCGCTAGTCCAAAATGGAGGAAGAAGACCAACCGGGTTATTCACCTAAGGGTGAAGTGTTTGGAGAAGGCAGGAGAAGGAAACAATCTAGGACAACATAACTGAACTGGAAACATTCTCCAATCCAGCTCCCTTTCCTGTTGAGCTATGTTGTCCTAGATTGTTCCCTTCTGCCTGAAATGAATTTTATATAATTTTTTGGGACAGATAAAGCTTTTTTTTGTGGTATTTAATCACCACTGGAGGTTTTATTTTTTACTATATAAATAAATAAACATTTGCCCTACGTTATTATATAAAACAGGTACTCAATTTTTTGGTAAAATATAAAATATGGGGTATGTCGGGTAAATAGACACCAACCATGTCAAGCCTTAAAAATGCGTGCGCTAGTGAAATTGCAAAAAACTACCACACCCAAACGTGCCCATAGGCAATGCTTTAAATGCTTTTACCGCTCATCAATTTAGTGTTAACAGTGATTGGTGGCCCTAACATTATTGCTCTTACTCCGACATTCACCTCACAGAGACCTGCTGTGCCACTGATAGCTGGTGGAGGGCGGGGCACACTCCTTGGCACCGTACAAGCGTTTGGGCGACTCTATAGCTGCCTGAACGATTGTATGCAATAGCCTTCGTTGGCTGTAAACAATGTGAATGGTTTCTTTCTCGTTTGCTTGCAGGTGCGTGTGAACAAGTGGGGCGTCCGGAAAGGATGTTAAAAAATGCCCACCCGCTGTCATGAGTGAGCCATCCGGCCATTTTAATACAATTGGCCAGGGAGCAAATGGTTAAATGACCTATTTATCAACAAATAAAAATGACCATCTGTTTATGGCGTTCTGCCTTATGGGCATGAGATTTATTGCCTTACCTACCTGCCACCTCAAAATCGGCCACAAGATGGTGCTAAAGAGAAATAACTTCTATGGTAGGTTCCCAGAAACCTCTAGCTTAAAGGAGAACTATGGGGTTAAGTATTTTCCCCATAGTTCTCCTTAGGGTAACGGGAGGACACAAACTAGCGTCCTCCCGTCACCCTAAGCTCAGTATACCGCGAGCTGCAGCTCGCGGTATACTGAGACGCTGAAGCGGATCCCGACAATTGTGCCGGGATCCGCCCAGCTGCGTGACTGACCCTCCCCCGTCCGATCCACCAGTGCTGGCGGATCGGAGCGGGGAGGAGGGAATCCAGCCCCTCCCCTGTCACGGTAGAGAGCCGTGACTGGATCGAGAGGTGAGCGAACGCCGGTATGTGTTCGCCCACCTCCCGATCTACTGAGCCGACCTGTGACAGTCTCATTGTCACAGGTCGGCTAGAACTATGAGGTGAGTGAAAAGCACTCACCTCATAGTTCTCCTTTAAGAAGAAGGACATAAAAGTATTCTGGGAACTCGGCCTCCATTTTGGAACAGAGTAAAGGAGGATCCAGTTCCATTCTGAGCACGTTTGGAGAAAACACCCAGATTCCCCTTAAGGCAGCATCGCTGGTAGGGACAGACTTGTTTTGCACTCTTATTTGTGAGCTATCACTCTATTTACTTCATGTTCTTTTTCACCAGTTTCACACACCCTGTTTTGTTAATAAAGCTTCAAGATTTCATCCAGTCTGGCTTATTACAGAATAGGAGGGTTTAGTTGCATGTCGAGTTATATAGGCCACAGGGTAACGTGTAGCGGGGACAAAAGATATAGTCTGACACTCCTTTCCTTAATTCTTTGGTTTTAGCTACTGTTGGGTACCAGGGTTGCCACCTTTTCTTCAAGCCATAGCTCCTCGCAGCAATTTTTTTGTAGAGTATACACTATGCATATATTTTGTGACTAAATAACATTTGAGTTATGTGCAATAGTGCATACCTGGGGCATCTTTTATGTGCAATAGTGCATACCTGGGTCACCTGTGGCATCTCTTGTGGGGCACAATTGTGAAAATTCCATGTGTGTCTTTAAATATTTTGTTCTGGTCCCCTAATGTAATAGCTTTGTCAATTGAACCTTGTGTCTGAATAGATTTCAATATTTTGTCATTTGTATGCATGCGCTTAACATTAGCATACACACATTGAACTAATTGTAAACTGTAGGCTGAGTCCCTATTACCACCTGAGCGCTTCATCACACATTTCCCAAAGCACAATGCTCAATGGTATTTTTCAGGCAGAAACATGCCTTAAATGGACATCAATGAGAGCACCTGAACAATGTGCATAACATACTGTACTTTTTTCATGTGATTTGCCTCCCCCTAGTAACTAGCTTTCCATTGGCTGAAACAAAAATCCTCAGATAATGTAGGTTCTCCATGTCTATTGTACATATAGGATGTGTCCTTGAGACTTTGCTGTTGGGGTGTGTTGCAGTAACACAGGCACTAAGACACATTATGTGTGTTAGTGTGTTGTGGTGCTTCTAATTTTGAAAGGCACCCTAATGCACTAATGCAACACAGCTCCAACACACATACATTACAGTGCATGGCTGCACACTACTATGTATTGTGGTGTGTTGTGTTACAAAAAATGGTACATGTCCATTTTGTATATTTTGGTGCATTGCCATCACATTCATTTAATTGGCATGCCTTAACGCAATGCAAAAAAAGAGCAGTAATGCAGGTGCGTTAAAGCAAAGCCAATGGACGAGTGAAGTGTAAACCCAGCCTCAAACTTTAGAGCCCAGTTGAAGCCACATTTACAATAAAGAAGATTGGAACAATGTTTTACAAGCTTCAGTTGCCCATAAATTGTGTGGTACTTGCTCCATGGAGGTATCGCTGCTTCAGGTGAAAGCAGCGGATTCCGTACAGCGGTCCAACATGTCAGCAATACAGTTCACCAATTCACAAAGCTTTCATCATTTCTTCATTTATTATGATCAGGACCAAAAAAATAGCACTGCAAGACCCTGACAGCCACAGACATGACTCCCAGAGGCATACACAGGAGGGGATTTGTAGTTTCACCGGAGCTGGAGGTCCGGAGTTTGCCTACCCCTGCCTGATTGTTAGGGCCAGTGTCTCTGAAATTTTTGTCCACATCAGAGTTGCTTCTCTCCCCATACAAATCAATGTGAATGCAAAAGGATAGTAAAGGAGGATGATGTAGCTTAGAAGCAGGTCAGATGCAAGGCAGAGGTAAGCCAACTGCAGATCATATGCACTAGTCCGTAATCTCAAATGTGTCTCAAACTGATGTTAAATGTAAGTGGCAGAATGCACCTAAAAAGCAATTTCCCATCAACATCAGCCCAGACTCAGTCCCAAGTTTCAGTTTTACAAACAGTATTCACTGCTGTGCTCTTTCGTTAGCTAACCCAAAGTTCTCAGAAAATTATTTGTCATGTATTAAAGCTCAATTGAAACTTCGCTTCTTTACTTGTTATACAGTCAAGTTGCTTTAACAGACTTTGGCTTTTATTACGTGTGTGTGTGCTTACAAAAAGCTCCTTTGTGTCAGCAGCACATTAGAGAGCCAGACCGCTGTTCTCTCACAGAGCGGAGGAGCTGGGGTCTCCAACAGTCTCAAACTGACCCTTGCAGTACTTGAACAAGTCTCATTTTCCTTGAGCAGCATTGTTGATTGGAGTACTGTGCAGGGCAATGGTCGGACCACATTTACAGGGCCTACCCAGGGGTGGGCAACTCTGGCCCTTCAGCTGTTGTGGAACTACAATTTCCATCGCAAGACTGAAAGTTACAGGCTTGTGTCCCAGAGGCATGCCGGGATCGTAGGGAAAGCACAGCTGGAGGGCCGTTGTTACCCACCCCTGGCCTACACCATATAAAATGTGTCTCCCTTACCTTTCTAAACTTTTTAGGAAAGTCATCATCTTGATTTTCTAACAATTCCCTTTTTGTTGACAATTACACATTTCTTGAAAAGCTTTTTTTTTTTTTTTTTTTGCTGTACACTTGCTCGAAGGAGTCTTTTAATGACAACTGTGTATGTGATGGTATATTTTTGTTACCTAAAGGTTTCCTTAATAATCTAAAGGGGTGTTCCTAAAATATTATAAAATCCCCATCTCATTTTTAATATCATATATTATTCCCAATACCCCAGTCTTTTGGCAGAATATCGTATTTGTTGGTATGTGGCTAATGTATCATAAATCACAAGACATTTTTCAATATAGTGATTTTATATAGAAAAGTGAAATATCTAAATATTACAGTAATTGTACAGTACACTATAATTCTTTACAACATAAACATATTCTTATATAAACCAGAACAAAACACAATCATACAAAATATAGAGATTAAAAAGTGCATTTGCTTAATTGAATCTTTAGTCCTTTTTGCCAAGAACAGGGCAATATAAATCATTTGCAGCATGACACACAACTGGGCTTTTTATATAATACATCATTTTCTATATTTATATACTATCAACAGTTATAGAATGGCTGGGGTCATTTACAGCAGGCAACAACAGCACAAACATTACATGTCTATTGTGATCTCCTGATAGCACGTTTGCTTGAAGACTGTAAACAAGTAGCGGGCATGTATTTCAGATTCGCTATAGAATCTTTTTACATTTATTTGCTACAAATACTAGAATCTGACGAGACAAAGTTGGAACAAATGCTTCTGTTATGGAGAAACGTCAATGTTTTTTTAAATTAGGCTGGACTGTTAACAGATGGCATATACTCATAATATGTGGCAGACACATCCTGATACAAAATCTATCTGTGGTATGTAGCGCCGCTCTGTGAACAGAGATAGGGAATCAGGCACAGGGCAATAAGCTGGTTGCAGCTGTAACTGATGATCACATTGTAACATCATTGTTCTCCAAATGCTGCCATTTGACATAAAAATAAATTATTATTAGCCCCGTCTTCTTTATAAATATGATAACTTAATCCTACAAAACCCCTCCGGCTTCCAGAGCATTCGGCAAGGTCATGTCACTTGCGGGATCCTGGGAAAGCTGAGGATCTCAAATCTTGAGGTAAGTTGCTCTTGCACAGTGCCCCTATTACCTAGGCAAGCATGGTGGAATTATTTATTGCTTTTTTTTCTAGGTCTTTTTTAGGACTTCAGATGAGAGGGGTGAGGGACTAATAGATAGAGGTTAGTTCCTTTTTAATGAAAGGTCCACATTAAGCTGCCCATAGACTTGAGATAAAAGTTGCCTGATGCAGTGCTTTTTGGTCGTCAACAAAGATAAAGATAAAAGTTGCCTGATGCAGTGCTTTTTGGCTGAGTCGTCAACAAAGTCATGTCTAAGAAGTGAACTACAACCCCAATTCCCAAAAAGTTGGGACGCTGTGTAAAATCTACATAAAAACAGAATGCAATGATTTACAAATCTCATACACCCATATTTTATTCACAATAGAAAACATAAAATGTTTAAGCTGAGAAAATGTACCATTTTAAGAAAAAAAGGTAATTTTGAAATGTATGGCAACAACACGTCTCAAAAAAGTTGGGACAGGGCATCAAAAAGCTGACAAAGTAAGTGGTAATGACAAGGAAGAGCTGGAAGAACGATTTTAACCACTTACTGACCGGGGTGTTTACACCCCCTTCCTGGCCAGGCCATATTTCAGTATTCAGAGCTGCAGTACTTTGACTGACGTTTATTCCGTCATGCAACGCTGTACTGAAATGAATTTGATATCATTTTTTGGGGACAGATAGATCTTTCTTTTGGTGGTATTTAATCACCACTGGGGGTTTTATTTTTTACTATATAATGAAAAAAGTTCTGAAAATTTTCCCTATGTTATGTTATAAAACATTGATCAGTACCCAATTTTTTGGTAAAATATAAAAGATGTGGGCCCTGTCCGGTAAATACTTGCAAAACAAAAAAATGGTCACCAGCACTCCAGGTTTTCTTCGAAACAAAATCCTTTTATTCATTCTGACAGGTCATATCACCAAGCGTGGCAACGTTTCGGAACCTGTCCGGTCCCTTCATCAGGCAAACAAAAGTGACACATTGTATGGGGCTTCTCGGTCAGGAGTGCAGTGGGACTCTATTTGACTGTCAGGTAAATAGACACCAAACATGTCAAGCTTTAAAACTGCGCGCGCACGCAAAATCTCAATAAACTACCATGCCTAAAATTGGCCATAGACAGCGCTTTAAAAGCTCTAACTCCGACGTTCGTGGCGATATATAACATGTGGCCTAATTGTTATTTTCGCATGTAGGCTCACCCAACGCGTATTTATGTTTATATGTGCGTGCACGTGGGTTTTTTTTACAACTTAACTTTATTGCTATCACATCGGGGGATAACAAGCCCCCTATGTGATAGCCAATATACAATGACAGGTCGTCTTTATGGAGACATTAGGGGCCCTAGTGGGACCCCCAAAGAAGCTGATGAAGCAGAGATCTGCTTCACTAGATTCTTCTTCTGGCTCTAGGAGCCAGAGAAATGACAGCTAAAGGCGGAAGTAATGTAATACACATCGCTTCCACCTTTAGGGAGAGAGGAGAAGAGATCAGCAGTGGGGGAATGCTGATCTCTCCTCCGTCATCACTGTAAACAGCTGCTGTGCTGGTCCCAGGCCCGCAGAGGGGACAGCGGATTTCCGGGATAACCGGCAGCGGGGGTAGAGCGTGGCAGCTGAGGGGGCCGCAACCTGCTTGTTGTCATGCCTGCCTGCAGTCAAGACCTTTCACCAATTGAAAATATTTGGCACATCTTGAAATGGAAAATACAACAGAGAAGACCCAGGACTGTTGAGCAGTTGGAATCCAATATCAGCAACGGGTCTCCTCAGTTCCCAGATGTTTACAGAGTGTTGTTAATAGAAGAGGGGATGCTACACTATGGTAAACATGGCCCTATCTCAACTTGTTTGAGACGCATTGCTGCCATTAATTTCAAAATGTTTTTTAAAATGTTACATTCTCTCAGTTTAAACATTTGATGTTTTCTATCATGGATAAAGTATGGGGTTGAGACTTGTAAACCATTGCATTCTGTTTTTATGTAGATTTTACACAGCGCCCAACTTTTTTGGCCTTGGGGTTTTAAATACCCTTGGCCAACCACTCTGAGGTTGAACATCAGGCATAGAGGGTAAAAAAACTCTACTGTCCATTTGTTTTAGTTTTTTCTCCCCAGAAATAAGGCAGCGTGGTTTGGTTGAGCCACTTTCCACCTCACCCCGCATTAGAATGAACACATACTTGTATTATGCAGTACCAACTGTCACCAGATATTAGTAGTGCCAGAGAATAAGCAGATCATGCCATACTTCACAGCTTGCAGGTCATGTCTGCAAACCACAGGCAAACCTTTAGCCCTCGTTCACACCTGAACGTTTTGTAGTGCGTTCTACGCTCGACGAACGCTCTACAAAACGCTCAAACATCTAAATCCCATTGTATTCAATGGGTCTGGTTCACACCTTGGCGTATTTCAGCCCGTCCCTAACGCGCTACAAAACGGCCCACGCCTCAAAAGGTACATGTACTGCTTTGGGCCGTTTTTCTTGCGCGTTTCCATTGGGATACAGCCAAGTAGCCCTCGGAAACGCGCGTTTGTCGCGCGATTTTGTTACCGCGAATCGCGGTAAAAAAACGCGCGACAGCCGCGCATATGCAATACGCCTAGGTGTGAACCAGGCCTTAAGGTTACATTACAACAGATTGTGCAATTCTTGATGTGGTGTAATTGTTTTGCATTATGTTTTTATCCATGGTCAATTCAAAGATTTAGGTTCAGTAAATTTTCCTGGGAATACCTGCATTTGTATAAGTGTATGTTCTTATACAAAAGACCTGCAGTTTTGTGCTGCATTTACTTTTTGTAAATTAAAACAGTGAAGATTTTGTATACAATTAAATATATACCGTATTTTTCGCTCCATAAGACGCACTTTTTTTCCCCCCAAAAGGAAAATCCCGACGCCCGAGACATGCAGTTTCGGGCGCCGGGCGAGTAGTAGGAGCCACTGCTCGTTTAATACGAGTGATCTAACGAGATCACTCGTATTAAAGCCGAGCAGCGGCGGCGGCGATCGAGTTCAGCAGCAGGAGCCACTGCTCGTTTAATACGAGTGATCTAATGAGATCACTCGTATTAAAACCGAGCGGCGGCGTCGATCGAGATCACCATAGAGTAGACAAAGAATAGACGTTCTTCGCCTGCTCTGTGTCATCACTGAGACCGTGGCGCTGTAATCACAGCGCCACCTGTCTCAGCGGTCACTAACTGCAGCTTCTGTCATAGAAGCTGTCACAGAAGCTACAGTCTCGAGTGCTCCATAAGGCGCGCCGGACCTCCCTGCGTCCTATGGTCCGGTGCGTCTTATGGACCGCAAAATACGGTATATATTGTAGGTGCATTTCCTGTTTCTAACAAAATCCTAAGGCAATATGGCAGCTTGATGAGAACTCCATGGGAATTACTAGCAGAAATAACTATAGTGTAGCAGCTTCTAATAACTGATCTAACCAATGTTATATTATTGTTAGCCAACTTCTGGGTTGCTACATATCTGCTCTTCTGTTAGTAACATATGTGCAACCTGCCTGAAATCAAAGTGTCATGCTTATATCTGATGTTTTCAAGTACAATCTGTGAAGACCATTTTATTTAGGTGTCTGACTGTGGTAAACAGTTTCTATCATATAAAGCTGACCACACACTGGATACATACTGTATGTCTTAGATTTGATCTGTTTGATCAAAAAAGTTAGCAAATTACTGCAATGTGAGAACTTACCTGACTACATGTGAATCAATAGATTGTTCATGAAACACTCACAATACATAGTTATCAGTGATGGATTAAATGGGACAAGAAGGTCCTTTGATTACTCATTTAAACAGATATACTCTACCCAAAACCAAGTAACTGTCACAACTATGTGTTCACTGAAAGGGGTATACTACCAGAGGCGTAACTAGAACCTTCAGGGCCCTGGTGCAAGAAACCTTGAAGGGTCCCCCCCCAACGGCACCGCATGGTTAACAGGAAGGCTGCCGAGGTCCCCAGCAAGCGCGGGACCTCAGGCAGCCGATTGTTTAAAATTTTAGTGCGGTGTTCTGTCAAGAACGCCGACCCAGTATCTGCGTTTACGTACAGACGGGATTAACGAGGAAACCGGCATTTATTTACAAAGTATTCGTTTGTAATTGTTAATTGTGACCGTTAATAATATACCATCTATGGCAGTAAATGATGGATGGGATATTATTAACAGTCACAATTAACGATTTAAACTAAATACTTAGTGAATAAATCCCGATTTCCTCGATAATACTGGCAAGCGTAGATGCTGAGGTCGGCAAATTCGACTACGTCGTCGTTCTCGACAGAACACCAGTATCTGCGCTTAGTATCGAGGCATTTTCACGAGTATGAATACTTGTGAAAATGCCCACTATTGGCAGTGGTGTATCCCTGCTTAATAATAAAATGCATTGCTGGGACTTGTAGTCCTACATAGTTGAAGCTATTCTGCATTGCTGTATAATCATCATACAGCAATGCAGACTACCACCAGCTATGCGGGACTACAAGTCCCAGCAATACATTATAATAAAAGTCGGCTATGCAAAATAACACCCCACTATCATGCATTGCTGGGACTTATAGCCCTACATAGTTGGTGCTATTCTGCATTGCTGTATAATCATCATACAGCAATGCAGACTACCACCAGCTATGCGGGACTACAAGTCCCAGCAATACATTATAATAAAAGTACCCCCAGCATCCCCCCCCCCACTATAATACATTATAATGTATAGCTATACATTATAATAAAAGTGAGCACTATATCACCAGCATCCCCCCAAACCCCTCCCCCCCCCCACACACACAGGGCCCTCTTCCTCGTCTCTGCGGCCAGGGGGCGGAGCTAAAAGCAGAGGGTTCTCACAGCAGAATGTGCTGCCCGGTGGCGCCTGCAGCACATTCTGCGGGACCAGTGACAGCCTCTCCATCCCTGCCGCACAGCCGCCCGTACATGCTGCAGCTGGCTGTGCGTCAGTGAAGGAGCGGCACAATCTCGGGGGGGCCCTCTTCTTCCTCGCTGGGCTCCCCCAAGTGCAATTGCGACCGCTGCAACCCTGGTAGTTCCGCCAGTGTATACTACTATGAAAATGTCTGAAAACACATGTACACAGTAGCATTTTATTTGAGACTCCAGTGAACCTGATTGCTTATATTCAGTGGACTATAAAAAAAGGTTCTGCTCCAGCTTTCTTCACAGTTGAAGGACTGCAGAAATATGTTCCAGTCAACAAAATAGGAGGCTTTTGTAAAGAACATTAAGCTTTTTTAAGAAGCTCTGCCCCTTTCCCACTGACAGCAGTAATAGCAGTGGTCCCTAAATCAGCTATTTTTCTAGCAAAATATATCTACAGCACATTTACAGTGGAACACTCTAGATAAAGATATTGTAGAATACTTACAGGGCTATTCACAGAAGGGTGAAGAGTTTGGAGAAGGCAGGAGAAGTGAGCAATCTAGGACAACATAGCTGATTTGGAAACATTCTCCAATTCAGCTCACTTTCTAGTTCAGCTATGTTGTCCTAGATCAGTGGTTCTCAACCTTTCTAGGACCGGGACCCCTTGGTAACATTTGCCAAGTTGTGGTGACCCCCACAGCCATGATGTGGCTGCTGCAGCGACATCTGGCATCGTGGCGGGAGAACTGACACTGCTGCGCTAGGAGAGGGCTGAGGAGGACTCTCACATAGCACAGCTGAATTACACCAGCTATAGAGGTATATTATACCATAATGGACTATTGCTGGGATTTGTAGTCCTCTCTAGCTGGTGTTCTTCTGCATTGCGCTGTATAATGTACTATTGCTGGGAGTTGTAGTCCTCTATAGCTGCTGGTATTCTGCAGTGTGCTGTATAATGAATATACGGCGCAACGCAAAATAACACCAGCTACAGAGGACTACAAATCCCAGCAATTGTCCATTATAGGATATATATAAGAGTGAGTTCAAAGATTATTGACTTAGTCTGGTATGAATCCAGTAAAATGAATTCAAATTGGTTGCTATGGGTTAGTATACACTAACAGGCCATTTACAACTTAGAAATCATGACTGGGTGTATTTCACTTATAGTCACTTTTACACAAGTATACATTTAAATCTAAGATTGTGCAGTGATAACACATACTTTGTGTGACTTGCCACCCCTGTAGTAAAACCTTACACAAGCAATATGATGTGTTTGTAAGCCTAAACTAAAGAAAGGTAGTATATATACCTTCTAACATACAGTAGCTCTAAACATTATAAATACAATAAAGTAAGCTATTTCACCACCAGCCCAATCACATAACCAGTTTTCATTTTCTAGCTGTGACCAATGCTGTTCTCATGCTCTGTTACAATATTTGCTAGGCTTTACCCACTGTTCTAAAATTAGGAATAACCCTCCTACTTTTGGCATATGTGATGGAATGAGACGTGAATACCTTCTGCTCTAAGATGGCTCTATTGTGCTATGCACTGATTGAGTTGGAGAGCTTTTTGATTACTTTAGTCCCTTCAAACCATAACATTGATGGGTATACTTGCTTTATATATGTGCAAGGAAAGGTAGTGATTCTGAACAGCAAGAAGTTTCTTTCTGTTGGATCTCAAATAACTCCATGAGACCAAACACTTTGCTTTTGGTGCATTATGACTGTTACCATGCTGCACCACTAATCACAGGTTTTCATTGTGTACACATGCCAAATTTTGGCCTGCATTTTCATTAAGAATTGAATAAAAAGTATTTTTAATAGGACATTTATGTACTATACATACAGGAAAAACAAATTCAGCCCTTCAGAAGCAATGCCATTTTTTATTTACAGAGCTTCTTAGAGCAGCATCAGTTTTATCATTAATAACTTGTTCTATACACTTATTTGGAACAAATATGACTTTCTGTCGGTAGCAATATTACATTAACACGTATTTGCATTGAAAGGGATCAAAATGCAAAAACTGTAAAAAACAAAACAAAATGGCAGTACTTTGTAGATTACTTCCACAGTAACTTTTGCAAAATTAGTAAAGGCACAATAAATCGACCCAATATTTTTAACACTGTATTCCTTGTATACCTTTATACACCCCCAACATACATCTTAAAATAAAGCTGTCTTGAGCCGGAACACATTAAACAGCAGAACTGTACAAGTACCTCTAGGTTTCTTTACAAATCTTTGTGTTCTGCTCAAGCACTACTACAGCCCTGAAATCTGGGGTGCTCTATTATGCAGATATAAATTTCTTCAAAAGTTGGCCCACTCCACCCTGCATTTCAGTTTTGGATAGTGAGGCTGCATAAGGCTAATAGTGAGTGCAGGAAAAGAGGGATAGTCCAGAGTCTGACTTTCTCTTAAAGAAGTATTAAACTCTAAAACTTTTTTTAAATAATGGATCCAGATCAAACAAATAAACATTGCCCAGCAAGAAGTGTTTTTTGCTTGCTTTTCAGACAGATGTTTTTCTCCATAATGCCAGCTTTCAGATGCCTTCTTTTCTGTTTGAGAATACGTATATGGCCACACAGATATGTTTGTAGTTATTTAATATTTAATAAATGGTTTGATTATGTTTATAGTGTAGTCAGTGCACAACCTATCTTAGTATTGGGTTTCTGTAACCCCGTGGAAGGAGTGATTATGTGGTCCTAGCTAATATTCACAAGAATGCTTTTTAAAAAATTTCTAGAAACTAACAGTATCACCGAGACACAAGTAGCAGTATGTCAACTGATGTAACTAATGCCTTGTTTAAAAGCTGGTTTGAGCAGTGAATGGCAATTGTTCTGACTACATGCAGACACTGCTCAAATATAATAGTTGTTACCTGCTCCCATGTTTTATGTTGCATGGAAACAGTTCTGCTGGTTGGGTTTATTGTCTTTTCACAACCCTGTCTAAACAACAGTATACACTGACTACTGCTCTCCTATAAGCATTAGTAGTCCCATTTACCTTAAATAGGACAAATGGAACAATACACAGGCAGAATACATAGTGTATAGGACCTTCTCATGTAAATACATTTTTTCATACATATCTGTTATGTCATTTGTCTCTTAAAGAATAATTCACCTTCAGCTGTTACAGAAATAAGAGCAAATCATGGAGGTGTAATCCAAACATACAGGAAAATAGAAAAAATCATGTAGCAGCAGATGGCAGACCATCCCTGACATATGAACCACACACCGGGCACAAAATCTTTGACCATGAGTAAAAAATATTTTCAAAAAGTTCCAGATTGTCCAGATTGTCTGCAGGTATCACACTGACTAAACACAGTGCATTTTCAGAAAGTAAAATTGTGCATGTTCTCTCATTAAGGAGTTATGTGCGGACAGACCTGTTTATAAAACGTGAACCAATTCCAACAGCAGTAAATGAAATGGATCCATGTGCCAGCTGTCCATATTTGTCAGGAGACATGTGATGCCTCATCTTGATCATCAGATCCCAAAGAGTTCCATGGAGTAGACACCAGGGAATATCCGACCAGCTAGTAAAAATAAACATGTCTGACTTGACTGCATGTTCGTTACTGAACACCTGAAATCTCTGATAGACTATTAGTTCTTCTTGATGAGACCTGCTGCTGTAACCCCATAGACCCTTGATGCTGGGAGTAAGTTGGCAAAATCAAAGAATCTGGCTGTTCTTTCTGTAAAGTGCTTGTTGTCGGCATCTGGTGGGAAACAAAACAAACACATGGGTTCCCCAATAACACGTTTGGCTAGGTAAGTTAGAAAATATTTGTATACTTATCATAAAATCTTTCTCTTCAACTCCATTGAGGGATACATGAATTCTGAAACAGTAGGGTTACATGCTACCACCTACAGGAGGTTTGAACACTGGCAAACAGAAAAAAGTTAAAGGCCAACTCCTCCTAAAATCTCACATCTATTAGTCATGTCTCTGTTTTGTAAGCAAGCAGTACCCAAGGCCAATAAACATTGAGGAGTGGGACCCTTGTACCTCAATGGATTTTAACAAAAAGATTTTACAGTAAGTGCAAAAATCTTATTCTCTTTATTCTCCATTGAGGGACAAAGACATTCAGGAACTTTGAAACAGCTGGAACATCCAAAAATAGTACATCTGCAAGGTGGGCAACAGCCTAAGACATATCTAGGAGAGAACCAGACCAGCTTCTGAATCTACGGTCTAAGCAGGAGTTAGATTTGTAAGATCTGCAAGTACACACTGCTAAGGCAGAACAGGAAGAGGAATGTGCTCCTCTGACCGTTCCACAGATCTCCTGCGCTCTGGTAAGAGCATACTGTGGCTGCCCAATCGATGCTAATGACAGAATCAAGAGACGGTCCTAAGACACAACTTCCCACGAAGGAAAGACAAATCAGCTGCACCTTAGATGTCTCATCAGCACATTACAATTACATTTTTTATATAAAGATGAGACAACTGTCTCATTTCGTTATAATGCTACTAAATGAGACAGTTTCCTAAGAGATGAATGTCCCTTTAATCGCGTCCCTAATGCATGATTTCTAGAATTGTAATTGTGTGCTTGTATGGCTAAATGTGTGCTTGAATGAGTAAATGACTGTGTGTGCATGTATGGGTATGTGACGGTGCATGTATGGGTATGTGACTCTGTGCATTTATGGGTATGTGACTCTGTGCATGTATGGGTATGTGACTCTGTGCATGTATGGGTAAGTGACTTATGTGACTGCGCATATATGGGTAGGTGACTGTGTGCATGTAGTGCATGTATGAGTAAATAACTGTGTGCATGTATGGGTAAGTGACTGTGTGCATGCATGGATAAATGACTGCGTGCAATTGTATGGGTAATTGCCTGTAGCTTTGCCTTATTGTCAAGCAAGTTTCACCATAGGACAGATTCATCTTTACTTTGCCTAATATTTTGTGTTGGAATTTCGAAAATTAGAAATTTGCATTTGTGTTCAGACGGCAGATCCCCTAGGAAAAATGTAAAATCCAGCAATCTTATTTGTTTTTTTCAGATTCATGGGATGCAAAACTCTGAAGTGTGGAGGTCTTTTAAGAATAGAATCCAGTTTGCCTAGGAATGCAGGTTTCATAGCAGTTTTTGTGAAAGTGTATCATGTCATCTCAAAGTCTTCTTTATTTTGGCTTCAAGAAAACAATATGTGGCCAATGTGTCTCAAAGTAATGTGTCTGCAATAGTAAAAGCCCAAACCCTACTGCTGTATCAAAAGACAAAGAGTGTGATACAGAGAAGAGATAGAGTGTATTTTAACCTCACTGGAAAGATTCCTGGCCTTGGCTTCTTTTGAAGGAGAGCCAGGGGGAAGAAAAGATGTATTGTGAAATTTGCGTAAAATACCCTACCATAGCAATGAGTCACTCTGGATCTGGTAGAAATGCCTTTGTAAGTAGCTGTGGTAAATTTTGCATTGAACCAATTAAAGCTCAAACAAGCACAGCTCACATGGCATGCTGCTCGTGGTTCAAACAAGTAAATAAAAAAGCACTTGTGCAGTCTAAGGCATCAACAAGTACAGCAACTAGCAGTGTCAGTTCTGAGGTTCAGTCAGCGCAGGCCATTATTGTTAAAGCTCTACAGAAACTGAAGGAGCTAGGAAGGAAGAGACTAACTATTTTATTTAACAACACATAATTAATTGAAAAACATGGGAAGCCTCTTTCAGACATAGATATGTTGTGCCAAGCAATGATAAAGGCGGGTGTGTGCTTAGGGAAAAATTACACTAATCATGGAAAAACTGCTGAATTCATCATATGTGAAGCGGAAATAATTAGACAGGACATCAAAGAGATTGTCAGAAATTCAAGGTTTATCTGTATTATTGCAGATGGTAGCACAGATATTGCCATAATTGAACAGAAAACTGTTCTGGTCAGGGTTGTCAATGAAGGGAAACAAGGTCTACTGCATTTGTAAACCTTGTCCCAGTGGAGCAAGCACATGCTGCAGGAGTCCTTGATGCGATTGTTAAATGGCTTAAAAACCTGTCTTTGGATGTGCAACATCTGCGGCCTCCAGAACAGCCCAGTCCAATACTTATGTCTGTAAATTTTGATGGTGCTGCTATAATTATAGATTTAAAAGGTGGTGTAGCAACACTTATAAAGAACAATATTTTATTTCTGCTGCCTGTATACTATGTAGCACACAAGATTCAACTGTGAATTCTAGATGCAGTAAAGAAAATACCTTCCATTGTTTGAAGAAACATTGAAATGGGTTAAGTTCTACTGGAATAGCCCTAAAAAGGCATAGAGATGCAAAAGAAAATACTAAAGTAATAGAAGAAAGTTTTGCTTACTTCAGTTAAGCAAATTAGATGGGTTTCAAGTAAAAAAGGGCCTAAAAGCAATGCAGCAAAACTTGCCAACTGTTGTTCTACACCTTGGCCAAGTTGGTGCTGGGACTGATGAGTCTTCAGCTAAGCAAGGAAATATTAAAATCCATTACAAGTGTGAATTGCCTTTCTACCCTGTACATTTTGAGAGATATTCTTGAGCCTGTATGTCAGCTGTCAGATTTTTTTTCAATCAAATGACCTACTGTTACTAGATGTAAAGCTTTCTCTTAAAACATGTGCAATAAAATTGACGGGCTTGAAGTTTGATCTCTTCAAAAACCACGAATGAGTTTATTAGACTGTACCACCCAGAGGAGAGAACATTAGCAGGGTATGCTGCAGGACTTCATGCTCATTAAAATGAAGGGAACTGAATTTGAGGAATATGACCCCAGCAGAGCTATTCAGTATTTGCATGTGGGTGGACATAAGAGGCCTCATGGGGTTGACTCTGCTTAAAGTGTATTTGTCAAGACAGTGCCTCCCTGTTATTTAATTTGCCTTTATGTGTTTATGTTCAGTTTAAGCTCATCTAGTGTAACCAAGCATTTCCATGGATATAAATAGAAAGAACATATAAACAGCGCTCTCGGATGGGCAACAAATTAGCTTAGAGGTGTGTGTGCAGCCCTGGAAAACAGGAGGAGAACCTGTGGATTGTAAATATTCAAAAAACCAAGAAAGGGCGCAGAGAACACTGGCTAGTTAACAAAGTAGTGATGAAAAACTGAAGGTGGTGGCACTTACGTGTGAATGCCAGGATCTGGAGATGGACGGCCGGTATGGAGGATCAGGGCACTCGTGGTGTGGTGTCCGACTGTGATCGATGACGTCATTGGATTCGACTTGCGTCTTCTGCCAGCTGCTTCTGCACATGGTCCCCAGCAGATCTGACAGTTACCGCTCGCTGAGACACACACAGCTGCGGCTGTTACAGCCCCGTCCATTGCCCGCTGCCTATTGCCGATAACACAGCGATCCCCCTGCCTCTCTCCCACACCGCACAGACCCCTCACGGCACTTCAGACGAAGTCCCCTCTTCTCATCTACACTCTCCCGTGGATATACCTCTTGGATTAATACATCGATCACAGTCGGACACCACACCACGAGTGCCCTGATCCTCCATACCGGCCGTCCATCTCCAGATCCTGGCATTCACACGTAAGTGCCACCACCTTCAGTTTTTCATCACTACTTTGTTAACTAGCCAGTGTTCTCTGCGCCCTTTCTTGGTTTTTTGAATATCCATGGATATAAATGGCATTGTGAAGTTGCCTCTTTTAACATAAGTTTTTGGAAATCTGTTCTGTTTAAGCTCACTATCTACGTACTTGTGTTTGTTGATTGTGTTAAAGTGTTTTTAGGTCTGATTTCTAAGTTGCTATCAAATAAAGACCTTATTAAAATATGTTTTGGTTAAAATAATTTTTTGTATCAGGACAACTAGATTGTCATGAGGGACAATCCCTTAGTCCATAATCTTCAGTCCCTTTTTTTTAAATCTCCACACCCCTGCAGCGGCATCAGTGGGATGGAGTTTTCTGTAGGTAAATGGACAGACGTATCCAGAAGCTGGACACAAACAGCTAGAGAGTCCCTAGTTGACTTGGGGGAGGCCTCTGCCCTACCCAGCAAAGCTAAAATAGACTCCACAAATAAGGACCCTATATTGATAAGGGTCCCAGATTACAGGCATTGGTTTCACTTGGGTACCAGGGTAAATGCTGCTAGAATCATTGTGGGAGTGTAGGCTCAGGTCACCTGTAGCAGTGGGTCTGTCCTCAGTGTATCTTTAGGAAGACAATTTGTGCCGCATGGTGGCCAGCAACTAGACCCAATGGGAGGCAAGGCCTCAAGTACAAACTGGGCAGCTGGTGTTTTCAGGTGACCGGAGGTAACCAAGTCCCTCTTGGTGGGCACTGTAACAGAACCGAAGCCCAGTGATACACTTGGTGCTTCAGGAGCAGCAGCAAAATCGTATTTCCTCTAGGCTAAATGGGAAGTAAGAGAACATTGAGCGTGTGCACAGCCCTCCACCTAGCAAATGACATGCTGAATTCCTCAGCCTTACAGCAATGAATAAAGCAGAGCCAGGACATTTTACAAACGGTCCCCAAAGGTACCAACTGCGGCCTCGCTCACTGGGTGAGCCTTTGGCTCTGGACCCAGAATGGGGTTATTCACAAAAGGGTGAAGAGTTTGGAGAAGGCAGGAGAAGTGAACAATCTAGGACAACATAGCTAAACTGGTAAGTGAGCTGAATCTGATAATTTTTTCAAAATCACCTATTTCGGCCTAGATTTTTAACCTCTCCTGGCTTCTCCAAACTCTCCACTCTTTTATGAATGACCCTGATACCTTTTTTAAAACTCTGCTGAGTACAAAAAAACTATCTCACATCCTGGGACAATAGAAAAAACAAAGCAATCAAGGTTAGGGACAGGGTTAAATGGTGGCTGGCCTTTAAAAGTTTATTTTTGTTTGCCAGAATCCAAACCTCCTGTAGGTGGCACCATGTCGACTGTTTCAAAATTCCTGGATTCCCATGTCCCTCAGTGGACAATAAAGAAACATATTTTTCTGTGCTCTACTTAAAGGAGAACGATAAGATGAGTGATTTCCACTCACCTCATAGTTCTAGCCGACCTGTGACAATGAGACTGTCACAGGTCGGCTCAGTAGATCGGGAGGTGAGCGAACACATACCAGGTTCGCTCACCTTCCGATCCTGTCACGGCTCTCTGCCGTGACAGGGGGAGGGGCTGGATTCCCCTCTCACCGCTCCGATCTGCCAGCGCTGACTGGCGGAACGGACGGGGGAGGGGGCGGGTACAGCTGGCTCTGCCTCTAGATAGGCAGAGCCAGCTGTCACTCACGCAGCTGGGGTAACGTGAGCTTAGGGTAACGGGAGGACGCTAGTTTGTGTCCTCCCGTTACCCTAAGGAGAACTATGGGGAAAAACACTGACCCCATAGTTCTCCTTTAATCCAAGTCCTAAGAATCACAATCAACACTACAAATAAGCCTTTTAAAATCAAACCAAAAAAAGCACAAATACATAAGTGAAACACCTAAAGGAGAGTTTGAATGTTCGACGTTGACTCTGGCCTAAAAATAACTTGTTTCCTTGGCAACCCATGCATCATCGTTTGTGTACTTGAGTCTTGATTTATAACACAGATCTATGAGTGTATGCAAGGCTTAATAATATTTCTGTTTACGGAAACAAAACATGTGTGAGGAACTTCAGTTGGAAGCTGACATTCTCCGGGGTTGTATTTAAGTTCTGGGGCACAGGTGTTAGAGGCAGTGAAACTGTATAGATTTGTCCTAATGCTAGAATATGTCCAGGAGGTCAAAAATGGGAGCTTCTATGTAAGGCCTGCCAAAGGTATTACCATGAAGGTGCTTTGCTTTTGGACACATTCCACAGTAAACCTGTTAAAATGTGAAAGTTGTTAAATTGCAGATGTTACTGCAGCAGTAACTTAGAGGTGTCTGCACACACCTTTTAGCTTTCTGCAGAAGCACCCTGGGAGCCCCGAAACCTGGAGTTCTCTATTTGACAAATGCCTAATTCAAAAAGGAAATAAAGCCTGGCCTAACTCGTTGAGGGGAATTTATCACAACTGGAGCAGACAAAATCTGGAGCAGTTGTGCATGGCAACCAATGAGCTTTTATCGTTCATTTTCAAATCTTAACTAAACAAACTGAAGAGAGAAGCTGATTGGTTGCCATAGGCAACTGCTCTAGATTTTGTCTGCTCCAGTTTTGATAAATGTCCCCCTATGTATGTCCATAACTAAGAAGGACAACCTCACTCACCAGCAATAAGTATGGAGAATAGAAGTAGATAGAGATAGCTCAACATTCCTTCATTATTATTTTATTACATAGTATTTATATAGAGCCAACAGTTTGCGCAGCCCTTTACAATGTAAGGAAGACATTACAATCGCAATACAATTCAAGACAAGATGGTAAGGAGGGCCCTGCCCCTGGGGGCTTACAATCTAAAAGGGAGGGGGAAGTGATACATGAGGAGGTAGCTGTGTGGGGATGAATTGTTTGAGCACGTGATGGTTGAGTGGTTAGGTTGAGGTGGGAATTCATGAAGAACATATGACATAAGGGCCTAGGTTTCATGACTCCAGGCACTGCAGAAGGATCAGGACCCTACTCTGCATACCTGCTCTTTGTTCAGCAACTTATGAAGACATGTAGCCAAAAGCGATGTTTTCAGAAGGAAGTCAGCAATGCCAGCCCATTTTTCATCAGAACACATACCATTGCTCACTCACTTTCCGATCATCTCCCTGCAGAGAGCGGTGACTGTCAGTCACGGCTCCCCGCAGGGATTCCCCCCTCCTCTCTCCGATTCTCCAGCGCTGACTGGAGGAACGGAAAGGGAGGGGGCGGGCACAGCTGGCTCTGCCTCTAGATAGCTAGCTGGGTGGAACTCAACAGTATTGTCGAGATCTGTCCTGGCTGCCGCGCTCTCAGTATATAGCGGGCTGTAGCTTGCTATAAATGGAGCTTTGGGTCACGGGAGGAGGTTAGTATATGTCCTCCTGTGACCCTGAAGAGTACTATGGGATAAAAAGTTTACTCCATAGTTCTCTTTTAAGACAACTTTATAATGTTCCCCATTGAAAACAGTAGTTGGTTTAAGAGACTTTGCAAGCATAAGGGAACAAAACATGTAAACAATTCACACCTTACAGTATCTTATTTGTCGAAAAAGTGTAATAGAGTCAATTAGCGATGCAGAACAGAAGCCCTTATCAATCACTATTTATCTTGTATTTCTCTGAATGTACGAAGCTAATGAAACAAACTTCAGTTTCAAAATATGCATCATGTCAGCAAGAATTCATACTTATAGTTATAGATCCATCTCTGAAATCAACTGGTCACATCCAATGCCAGTGATACCTTACCTGGGAAAATTGCTGATGAGCTTGCATAGCCTGAGTGTTCTGCTGTTGGGAGGACTGTACTGATGTAAATCCTGGATGTAAAATGGCTTCATCCATTAGCACAATTGGAGCATTGTTGGCAGAGTCCTGCAGCTCTGTTTCCCTAAATATTTGTGGGTTTTGTGAATATCTGTTGTATTAGAAAAACAGAAAAATATAATCAGAGACTTCTGTTTCCATACAATGAGATTTTCAGCCAACATCTGTTATGAGAATGGATATGCTCATCAGATAATTAAACCTTAGCAATATGTTTATCAGGACACACATTCATTGTGGTGGGTTGTAATCTAAGGTTTGGAGATGGATAGTTGTGCACATTTATTTGGATATAGAAGTACAAATAAAAAGAGGTGTGCAAAATTGAAATTAGCTTGTTATTCAGATTAGACGTAATGCTTACTGAGCTAGTTAACCGGATATGAGTTGAATGAGTTATATAAGAACACTAATAAATTCATTGGTCCTTAAAAAGAAAGTGTGACTAATGAGGGTTGAGTAAGGAGAATGGGGAAGTAAGTTCTTCAAAATTTGTAAGTCTGCAACACATCGTTTAGATTTCAATCTGTTTGTGCTCCAGCAAAGGACAACAACTTTTGAGGGCCCATTAACACCACATTCAGATCATCTCCAGACCAGACCAGATTGTTTCCGGACCCAACATGCATCCTAATGTATCCCTTTGCTATTTCTGGCCTCTGTTCACACCAGCGCAGTCCATTACAGACCAAACTATAAAAAATACTGCTGGTCTCATTTTGTCAGGTCTGGAATGCACTGGAACTGCAGGCAGGTTCACACCATTTTCCGGACCAGATCTGGTCCAGAAAATGGTGTGAACCTGCCCTAAAAGTAACACATGAGATTCAAAACCCCCACACTAGATACCACCAGCTTCAACAGATCAAAACCTAAACTTCTAGCAGGATCATAAATCTGCATCCGCAAAACCTCTTAATGGCTAATTCGTTGTAGTAACCCTTCCCCAGAGGCTCTTAATGCATGTCATAAATACTTTTGCAGAGCAGTAAAAGGAATACACATTTTAGTCTTGTGTTTTATAATGACCAGAAACCAAAATCTATTTAAAATGAATTCATATTCCATAAATTCTAATATAGTAAAATTACAGTCATAACAAGTGTCTGCTCATATGTCCATATCATAAAGTCACTATCAATTAGGTACAAATTATGCCTATGTCATAATGTACTGAGGGTTACTTGCTTACATTATATGTCCTGAAAGATATATACATCGGATGTACATGGTTAGTCTCTAACAAATTGCGATTTCAATTTGTGCAATAATGTTGGTTTTTAAAACATGGAAATACAGTATTGATACAGTTCGGAAAAACCGTCACTGGAAATGTTTGCTGACCTACCATGAAACACTTCAACACTCCTCGGAACCTTTGGTTATGTCATTGCAGTAAACATGCTCCCAAAAAAACAGAAAGATGGCTGCATCTGCAGATCGAGAGCTCTCAATTTTCCATCCAAACAATGCACAAATGCTGCAAGCAATTTCTGAGGGCCAGTGACCCTGTCAAAATCAGACTTACACTGCAGCATAATTGAACTTTGTCATAACCAAAGACCAGGCAAACCTTGTTAAGTTTGCTTAGGTTTTTATCCCATTTATTTTACTGTTGCTATTGCCGATTTTTTTTGTAATACTGCTATAATAGTTACTGTGAATGGTGTGTGTTTCCTTAACCCCTTTGTGATGGGAGACGTACACTGTATGTCCCGTCACAAAGGGACCAAATGACTCGTCACGTACACTGTACGTGACAAATTATTTGCTGCACTAGAAGGCTGGTAACCGCTGAGAATCAGCGGTTACCATTCATTAATGGATGCCTCAGTATAGAGGCATCCATTAATGAAAGGGTTAACCTTTTTCAGACACCCGATACCTTAATATCAGGTGTCTGAGAGTCAAAGCAGAGCGGGCACACTTCTTTCAGGAATAGATACATAATGTATTTATTCCTGAAAGAAGAATGTTTCAGTTTTCTGATGGTTGTTGGAACAATCAGAAAACTAGTGACAGCTGAATCCTGAACTGCTGCAATATCAGTGTCACTAACTTATTATCGGCTGTTCTGAAGTTTGAAGCAGCCTGATAATAACCAAACATCTATTAATTTATCAAGCAGTAATAGTGAGATTAATTCACAATGACTGCTTGATATAATTAAATAAATAAAATAACATTTTTAAGTTTAAAAAAAATAGTGAGAAGTGTAAAAAAAAACAAATTGTAAAAAGTGTAAAAAAATAAAAAAATAAGTGTAAAAAAATAAGGGACAAATAAATGAATGTATTTATTGCATTTTTGTTTAGCTGTGCTGGTTTTGTAAAAAAATACTACAAATCAAAACTGGGGAAAAAAAGTGTTTTTGTTAAGTTTTTTCCTCTTTTTTTTATATTGTATTTGTCCTAAGTGAGGCGTTAGACACACTTATGTGATATAAATATGTAGCCCTATCTGTCCTCTACAAAACAATATATAATATGTGTGGGTGCACTTTGTAAGAAAGTATATTACTGAGGTGGAAGAATCACACAGCAAAAATGTCAAAAGTGTGTCAGTCATTTACGAACAGAAACTAAAAACAAGCTCAGTCATGAAGGGGTTAAAACACCTGGCGGCAGCTACTCTTTGTGTGTGTAAAGGGTTACATTTACACACAGCTTACATTTTTATGAGCTGCACAGATCAACCATTTTTGTAAATGTTTTGCTATCTTGTTGCTTGAAAAGGAAAACTACATGAATACAAAATTACAAAAAAAGTTATTAATTTAACCCCTACTCATGTAGCCATATATGCCAAACACAGTCAGTAGTAGAAATGTATCATATTATAACAGAGCACCTACTTTATCTGATGTCTACCGTCTGAGTACCGCCTTGTGCTACAGGGGCTTGGCATCATTGGCTGAATAGGTTGACTGAGCAATAGTCTGCATAATGAAAAAAGAATACTTTTTTATATTCAACTAAATATTGTACAATTAAAGCTTACCTGAACTGAAGAACAACCATCTTCTATACTATGTCCTTACATGTTCTCTTTAATGATACAGCACAATATTAGTATAGTAAACAGATCTGGTTGGTTGATATTGGATACTGTATTCCACACACTGGAATTGCATTTGCACTGCTTTTCAAATGGTAAAGGGGATCTCCACTGTAGTCAGTATCTTGCACTGACCTCAGGCAAAATACAAAAATCAGTAACAGATATTTTAAATGAAAAGCAGTGTAACCGCTCTGCTTGTTATATAGAGATTACAGCCTTAGCAGGAAATCGAACATGTTTTAGGCAACATTCTCCTTCTATAGATCAATGGTATTTGCCATTGTCATTTTGATGCAATTTTTTTTTAATCTATTTCTTGCCATGTTCTATATTTACACAATTGTTTGTGTTTTAGCTTTAAAAAAGATTTTGGTTGTAAATGGAATATCATCATTAGGACCAGGATAGTGAACAGTTATAGTGAACAGGCTGGGAGTTAAATATTACAGCTATGGGGGGGGGGGGGGGGGGGGTTTAAAGGTAAATGTTTGTAAAGTTTTAGGTTTTCTGTGCATTATAAGCACTGGTACCAAATACATATTGGCAGTAAAAAGTCATTGGTCAAACTTTTAGCTCCAATGCACTCACGCCATTTTTCATAATACTTTTAAACCTTCATCACTGTCTATTTTCCTTACTATTCTCCTTCAAAATCACCAAGTAATACAAACAGTCACACATACTGTACATCCTTCAACAGATATGTATGAGGTAAGTTGGAACTTTTACCTTAATTGTCTGTCGTGAGTGAAATCTGGGGCTCTCTGGCATTGGTTGCTGTTCTGCTGTGAACCACTAGGGGATGCTGTGTTCAAACCTGTAGGACTGCTGAGCTGAGAAGCATTTCTGCTGGTCGAGAGGCTCCTGTTTGGTATGCCTTGCATGGTGCTCATTGATTTCTGTCCATGAAACCAAACTTAAGCTTGTAAAATGTTTATAAGAGATTTTGCAAAGTTACACATGCATTATTTGTTATTGTTATACAAATACATTTCAGTTCAGCATTTAAAAAGTGTAAACAAACCCTTCATTTTATTAAATGCTTCACTACATTGCTTGACCGTACTAAAAACAGTATGGTTACTGAAATCTAAATTAAAGGTAGATTCACGCTGTTCTATGTGCACTGCAGCATGCATGATAATGTAGGTGATAATGGGTGTCAATGCGCCCTAAATGCTGCCTGTTATTGCCACCAGTTCACAACTGTATTACTGGTTGTCAAATGGCCCAAATTCTTATTAATTAATAAAAGTAATTACATTGATTTGAGTAGCACAATATCAACTTGAACATGTTCTTTGATGTACTTAAAGGGTTATTCACAAAAGGGTGAAGGGTTTGGAGAAGGCAGGAGAAGTGAACAATTTAGGACAAAATAGCTAAACTAGAAAAATTCACCAATTCAGATCACTATCCAGTTGTAGATTGTTCACTTCTCCTGCCTTCTCCAAACTCTTCACCCTTTTGTGAATAACTCTGTTAGTGTTTTAAGTTTTGCAGTAGCAGTAGTAGTAGTGTGAGCGCTACCTTGTTTGCATCCTAAAACTCAGACATCCTAATCCAAATAGTTCCATTCTTTTTTTTCTTTGCCAATAGATCTATTTCTCCTAAACATTCATGAACCCACTTTTAGATTAAACAGTGTGATGCATATCTCATAAATCTGACATGTCATCATTTGTGAGAGATAAAGCTTAAATACAATTGCAGTCAGGTACACTTGCTGATTCACCTATCTAGCCATCCATTTATCTTTATATATTATCTAAATAGCAAAGCTATTAAAGGGTAACACACTTAGGATGTACATGTCTGTTAGCTGCACCAACAGCAAACAATTTTAGATTTGCCTAATCTTACAAACAGTACCCATCTCTAAAAAAAAAAAAGGTTTGTCCTAGTATATATGGAAATTGTCTCTCTGCAGAGTATATTCTATGTGTACATCTACTTTCAAGTACATCAAGCCTTCAGGTACTGAGTGCAATGCTGTTACATATGTTTAGAGCTTCATAACAATGTATACCAATGCCAGTAATGAACTGATGATACACTTTGGTATACAGAATTCAAATATTACCTTGCTTGGCAGGACATTTGTATCTGGCAGCATAGGTTCTGATGATAACAGATGCTGGTTTGCAGTCTGGGATGGTATCTGTCCTTGAGCTAATGCACTGGACATCAGTTGCTGCTCCTGTTGCATGCCAGAGTTTTTATGCATTTGCTGCTGGTGAGGCTCTGCTTGTTGCATATTGCTAAAGCTCAGTGAAACAATCTGAGGCTGGTAAAACATCTGATGAAAATGAAAAATAAAAATCTTAAAATTACGGCTGAATGTCAGACAAACTGCTAAATACAGCTAAATACACAGACACAATACATATTTGCAGATTGTTTTACCTGCTAATTGATTTGTATATCCGTTCAACCAGTCCTGAGATTTACACAGCTATGTCTTAATACACAGCAAGGTCTAGTAGGGCAGGACCTCTCTTTGTTGCAGTTTATTTTTTCACCCCTAGGGAAACCTGAAGCAAAAACGCCCAAATGGAACCCATATGGCAATAAAACTGAAAGAGGTTTTAACCATTCCCTACTACAGGGGTAGGTAACCTCCTGATGTTGTGGAACTAAAACTCTCATGAGGCATTACAAGACATTGTCAGCCACAGGCAGGACTTCCAGAGGCAGGGGCATGGTGGGATTTGTAGTTACACCACAGCTAGAGTGCCAGTGTTGCCTATCCCTTTCCCTACTACATTAAAAATAAAAATGTGTTTGAGCTTTAAAGCCGAACTCCAAGGTAATTAAATGTTTCATGTAAGTAAAACCGCTTTTTCCTGTCCTCTAGACATAAGCTACCAGTTAATCCTTGCAGTACGGAGGCAGCCCCACTGCAAGGGAAAACCTTTAATTTACCTGGAGTGGGACTTTAAATATACTTTAATGTGAATCAAGCATGCATCCGATGCACTGCTGATTCTCTTATCTGCCATTCAGACAAAACATCTGTTTGCACAGCCACTGCCTATGAAGTCTTCTGGCTTAAAGATGAGATCATAGCTCAAAGCCTAGTCTTGGCTGAAACTCTGCTTCCCCAGAAGTAGGAAATACCTCACCTGTGGACTGGAATCCTGGACCATATTCAGGGTCTCCAAGATCTTTTGTAGTTCCTTCTGTTGCCATCTGATGTTGGCTTGGATATCCTGTCTCCGTTGTTCCAGTTGATCCCTGACGGTTTGGAACATCTGTTCAGAAAACTAGAGAACAGACCAAAGTTAGTGTTTCCTTAGTTTATCGCAATTCCACTTTATATGTTATTGCACATTACAAATTTAAAGTCACTGATGTAGAAAATAAAACACAGCCAAGTTGACTCATGGATCATTCCACAGAATAAACTATTGCAATCATCATGAAGACAAAAACTTTAAATACAAACTTAAATTCTGATTAGTTGATATGAGTAACTGCACTTTACATATAATTTTTACTGTCTATAGTCTCTTATTAAATAGGTGGACAAATAGAATTTGCATATGGAATCTACTTGGAGTATTCCATCCCAAACTGTCACTTTAGGTTTTAATGGGGAGCAGAATAAAATTACAGAATGCAAAAAAAAAAAAACCTACATAAAAATAAACTACTTTTGCATAAGCAGCCAGACTAAAAATAAAAGACCGAGCGGTCATTTCACATGTGCAATTCACATTCACAATTCATGTGTGCTTTACTGCATTTTTAAAAATTAAATGTTATGAAATCACACTGACTAACCCATAAAAGAGATTACCTCACATTATCAATCCAAATAAAACATAGGGTGTTTCTTGTAGTATTTAACCAAATCATGCTGTGAGACTCATTACCATAAAAATGTATGTAAAAGTAGTATAAAGTCATGGAAACAGTACAATACTATGATGTGTCTATTGAGAAGAGCAGGAAAAGGGATACAATACTGATAAAAAAGAGACTTTTAATAGGTATATGTAAATACTGATACAATGATTATGCTTGTTTAGTAAGAGAGGCACTAATGGTACAAAGTGAAGTAAATGTAAGTAGTGTAGTGAACTGTCAATCACAATGACAGCTGTCCAGATCTGGTAGGGATGCCTTGCGCATTGCAGATAGCCCTTCTACATGTTGAAATGAGGACAAGCTACACAGTGTGAGAAGTCCTTATACACAACGGTAACTTCCAAAGGTGAGCATTGGCAGAAACGGCGATAATCATGCTGCAGCTTTCCCTTTTTTTTTTAACTTCAGTTTGGTATGTCAGGCATTAAAATTACAATACAATGTTAAATGCGTCAGTACTATGTAAAGCCACCTCTGACTTTAATTCTTTATTTTTAAAAGCTGAATTTAATTTTTACATATGTAAATATTAACCACCTGCTGTCCGGTTGTTGTAATTAAACGGCCGGACATCGGCTTTTTGAATGCGGGTGGGCGTTTTTAAACGTCCCATCCCACCCCACGCAGCATGCACGAGCGGGAAATCAGCCTGCAATGTAAACAGCCGGTGATGGCTGTTTACATACAAGCGCTCAGGTCGTCTGTAGAGACGCCCGATCACTTGTAATATTCTTGGAGACCCCTGATGTCTCCATAAAGAGGACCTGTCACTGAAAATTGGCTATCACAAAGGGGGCTTGTTAGTCCCCTATGTGATAGCAATAAAGTTAAGTGAAAAAACATGTTTAAAAGAATTGGTTACAAAAAATATATAAAAAAGTTAAGTCACATATAAAGGTAATAAAAAAAGAAAAAAATGTTTTAAGTCCCCGCCCCCCATATACACATGCAAACATGCGTCGAGTGTGCCTATGTGTGTAAACGACGATTGCATCCATTACGCCGCACATGTTACGTATCGCCGCAAACGTCACATTGAGAGCAATAATTTTCGGGCCATCAATCACTGATAACACTAAACTGATGAGCGGTAAAAGCTTTTAAAGCGTCGCCTATGGCCAATTTTGGGTATGCTAGTTTGTGCGAGTTCGCGGACACACGCAATTTTAAAGCTTGACATGTTTTGTGTCTATTTACCCGACGTGACCCCCACTTTCATATTTTGCCAAAAATGTGGGTAATAATAACTGTTTTATAACATAATGTAGGGAAAACTGTTTTTTCCCCCAAATTTTCGGTACTTTTTTCATTATATAGTAAAAAATAAAACCCCCAGTGGTTATTAAATACCACCAAGGAAAGCTCTATCTGTCCCCAAAAAATGGTATAAAATTAATTTCAGTACAGCGTTGCATGATGGAATAAATGTCAGTCAAAGTACCGCAGCGCTGAATACTGAAAAATGGCCTGGACAGGAAGGGGGTGTAAAAACCCGGTCAGCAAGTGGTTAAAGACACATTTTTGTCTAATGGAAGATCTCACAATCCTCCAGCTCTGGCACATTAGTCTAGGGGTGGGATGTCTCTCTCCATGTATATATCTAATCATTACAAGAAAATATAGCGATGGGTACCATATCTTCTCAACTTGGGTAGGTCAATCTGAATCCTGTGAATAGCTCTCATTTTATAAACCAATAGAAAAACAATTTTCTGAACAAGCTGAATTGCACTTTCCCAACACAAAACAAGGCTCTGCTTCCAGTTTTAGTGCCTGTGCTGATTCCCGTGAGATCATGCCCCCTCCCTCTGCATTTTTGTGACCTCAATCGTGTCTGGAAAGTGCAGGGACATTGTTAACCAAGAGGCTGTCTCCCCTGCAGAGCATGGTTGGATATGAAGAGGAGTAAGCTGTAGCTCTGTTTCTACTGCACAAAGAAGCATGGAAAAAAGCAACATACACTGTTGGAGTTAGGAAACTGAGCTGTGAAAAATAATACAATTCTGTAAGGATAAATGTATTGTAATGTAATACTGCATTATGGCCACTAGATGGAGCTGAGGAACATAGAAAATAAATACCTATTTCCAATGTGCCTCAGCTTCATCTAGAGCAGGGTTCAAAATTTGGGTCTCCAAGTACCGGCCTGTGGGCCAACTCCGGCATGCAAGCAGGTACTACGTGGCCCGCAGCCAGCTGACATGTCAGGCACACGGTCGCAGACCGCGTACCTGACTTGCGGGAGAAGCTCCACGGTCAGCATCTGTGTTGGATGCAGACCGCAGAGCAGCTCCTGTCAGCTCTGGCTTCCTTCGGCCGGAGCACTGATAGTTCTGAGCTCCGTCTGAAAGAAAGGATGTATGTGAAGAGGATTGATCCCTGGTTATATTGGGTGGGGGTTAATAAGGGGGAGTATATTATTTTATGTGTGTGGGGGGCTTATAACGGGGGGGAGTGTATTTTTTGTGTGCGGGGGGAATGTTATTATTATATTTGTGTGGGGGTGTGTGTAACGTTGAGAAGTGTATTATTGTGTTTTAAGCTGCCAATACACTTTACAACCATCGCACGACTTTCGTTGTGCGACGGTTGTAAGGTCATTAAAATTTCGTACGATCTGCCCATCTTGGACAGGCAGATCATCGCAAGCCCTCCAGCCCGTGCGGCATTCGTCTTCCGACCACACTAGCAACCCGCCGAAAATCGTACGTGCTCAGAAGACGAAAGACGTACGACCTTACAGTAGAAGCGGTCGCACGCTGCCAATACACCTGCCGATTATCGTACGATCACGGGATCACCCACTACTATCGTACGATAATCGGCAGGTGTATGGGCACCTTTAGTGTATGTGTATATTAGGCCCCATTCACACCTACAGTATATTTCAGGTGTGATTAGGGATTCCTGCGTCAGGAACTTGCGTTTTCCTGCAGCAGGAATCCCTAATCTGCCATTTACAAGCTATCATAAGATAAGAATTATCATAAGATTATTTAAGAGGGTGTGTTTAGGGGCGGAGTTAAGGCCGGGGTAGGGTAAGGGTTAGGTGGGGCAACTGGTGGCTAGTAACTCTTAAGGCCTGGCTAGTAGCTCAGGACTTGAAATTTTGAGCCCTGATCTAGAGGACCAAATGCAGTATTACATTACATACATTGGACCTGAAAAGAAAATATAAAGATAATTTTTGCATCTAATAGTATAGAATGAACGAACAAAAACATTCACAAGGCGAATGGCTCTGCAGATTGTTTTTAAATAGACCCCTTAGTGTGTAAACGTGCAAGAGAGTTCAAATGACTGCCACACATCAGCAGCTACTCTACACAATATAACTTTGATTGAGCACTATGGATGGAAATTTCTAGGGCAATTTGAAAGACCAGAAAATAGTGTCATAAATAAGGTATAGCATACCCTCCTCTACATTTTGGTTATGTATGGCCATTTTCACCCTTCTGACGAAGCCCCGGTGGGGGGTGAAACGCGTCATAGGCGTGGGCTAGGTGTTTTGTATGTGACTGCTGCGGCTGAGGCCGCCCTGACCCTTCTGCTTCCAACATATAGCCAGAAGAACTTTTGATTTTGATTGGAGATATTATAGGATTTCGAAGTTGGAAAGGCTGAACCAACCCTTGCACCACCAGTGGCGTCGCTACAGAGGGGTTGGTGAAAATTATTAGTGCCCCCCCAGTTTTGACTGTGGTATCTTATGTGCCCACCCTATATATTGTTCCTAGAGTCGCCACTGTGCACCACTGAATATGTATTTTGGATTTGAATTATATCCATATACCATTGGATCCAGCCACACAGGATGTTTCTTCTGATTGAAGTATAATCAGGAAACTAATTGAAGCAGCTGCTCAGTAAAGGTTTGTTCCCACAGCGAACAACTAAGCCGAGATAGAGCTATTTTCTCCTGAAACACACTGCATTTATTACAGAAAGTCGCTATGCTGGACGAAAGAACCACCCTGATCCTGTAAACTTCAATTCCAGGAGAATAAAGTATTCCTCAGCAGAAGTTCATCCATTGGAGTGATTGATCTTTTCTATACCTCCTGTTCTCCTTTTCTCCATTTTGGACAAATCTACCACTTCAGAAAAGCATGTGTTCAGTAAAGGCATATCTCTGCAGTGGAGAGGCAAGAGCCGAGATGAGGTTAGACATCTCCTGAACCATCTACACATCAAGCTGAACCCATCTATATCAAGGGTAAAACTACTCCGATCGTCCTATTTTGGCCTATGAGTGAACATACACAGTATTTGAGTGAAATCTATATATTCTTTCCAACTAAATTAGATTTTTTTGACGTTTGACTGTTCTTTTCTCCTCCTTTTTTCATTCCTTTTTTCATACACGTGTATGGTAGAAATATATATATTTTTTCACCGTTACCCAAGACCTGATATCTCCTTTCTAATCAACAGAGAGCTTGAGTTATTTAGAATTCTCTGATAACAAATCGTTACATCCTTATAGAGTTAAGCGCTTCACGGTGTGCCTATAACCCATGTTTATCCACATGCATGTTTTCATTTACTAGCTGTATGCAGCCATTTATATGTGTGTTTATGTTTTTGATATGGATTTTTCGATATATGTGCAATTTTAATATATTTAATAAATATTTTCTATGAAAAAAATACTTTTTGTGTACTTAAATCTTGAAACAATGGTGGGATCCCCTTTGGGGGAAAAATTCTGTTTTTGCTATGGCCATTTTCACTAGGACATATGCCTGCCCAAACAAATTTCCCTATTCTTTCTTGGAGTTCAATGGCATTGGGCCAGCAGGGTTAATAAGATAAAACCGTTCATATTTTGTAAGAAAAGTCTGCCACAACAGGATATTTTGTAGGTTTGTGATTTATCTAGATCTTGCTTTTAGGTTCTGAGTATTGGTTTATAGTTGGCTTTATACAAGTCTCACCAAGTGGTTGTCTATTTTATTCCCAGGTATGATTCACAAATTGCCATCACCAAGGGCTTGATAAATACAGCAAAAAAAACCCCACCAAGAATGACAATGTACAACCCAGATGGGTGAAACTATATATCACATAGTGATAGAGAGGATTACAGTGATCCCATCCGATAGATTTCGGTTTAAGGGCTGGCATACATACACTTTAATATCATCAACTAACTGACCTGTGAGGCCAAAGAGAAGCAATGATTGAAACTGACAGTGCTAGTTCAGTCCATCAAATATTTATATGTGTCTAGGGACAGAAACATTGTGCTTATCCTTTTACAGTCATAGTCAGGTTTATTGTTTTTAGAGGAATATAACTGGTTTACTTGCTGCAGACTTCTTGTTGCCCTGAGTCTTAAGGTGCCCATACACCTTACGATTATCGGACGAAACTTTTCGTCCGATGATCGAACCGTCGTCCGATTTTCGTACGACGGCCCCATCCTGCCCCGAATATCGCAAGGTTCAATCAGCGGTAGTTAGAAAAAAACACCTGGACGACTTGCGGTAATTGACCGCAATTATTTTCGTTTGCGCATGCGCAGTGTTAATCGTACAACATTTGACGGACGGAAACGCCACCAACCATGCGAACATCGTACGATCAACCAAAGTTTTCAAACATGCTTGACCGTCAAAAGTCATACGATTGTACAGTACTATCGGTCGGGCACTCTATTCACACGTTACGATTGTCGTACGAAAAGTCGATCGCATACGATTATCGTACGATAATCGTAAGGTGTATGGGCACCTTAAATCTCTTACTTGTGATAACATAAAGGTGAGACCCAGGTGTTGCCTGTGACATGCATATGAAGCATTTCTAGATTTGGTTATGTTGTTTTGAAAAAGTTGCTTAATCACAACATTCTAGTAGTTAAAATATGTTTAGCTATTTGTCTGAAATTTAGATTCTTTAAAATGTTATGCATGTGCTAAATTCAAGGGCTGCACAGTCTCGCAGTGTCACATGGAGTTTAGACTTTTTCTTCCACTCTGTTGATGTACATGCTGGTATTCCTTATACTATAACAAACATTATTAAAGTTATTTATATTGCACCAACAATTCATGCAGCGCTTTACATAGTTGCACATTCACATCAGTCCCTGCCCTCGAGGAGCTTACAGTCTAAGGTCCCTATCACACATGCATACATACGAGGGCCAATTTTTAGAGAGGAGCCAATTAACCTACCAGAGAGCTAGGTTGGAAAGCTTGTTAATTCATATCCCTAAATTGTTCATCTTTATGGACAAATTCTTCTCTTTTATGCTCAATCAGTTAACTCCACAAACTACCAAAATTATCTTTATAAAAAGACACGTAAATTCTACTGTATATATTTTTGGACAAGATGTTACCATTTGCAAGGGCTCCCTACTTGAAGTAGACCTACCTGTGTTATAGATGGTAATTCACTGAGTAGCTGATTTTGTGGTACAAACTGTTGTTGGAGGAGGTCACAATGCTTTAATGGTGCTGAAGCCTATACAGATTTAAAACATTCTCATAAATTCACACAGTAATAGTATATGTATTGTACAGACTTAATATGTTTTATCTAGCCTAACCATTTGGATACTGGTTGCAATACCAACACTTTTCCTTTCCTATACTTTTTTAGAGAACCTATCCACAACCATGTCATGCTGTAAATTTATATGTACATTAGTTATTTAGAACAAGAATCAGAGCGCTATTTCTACTGGCAACACCCCCTTTTTTCCCCACTAAATATAAACGGTAATCCATACCTGTGCTAGGTTTGGTTGACTCATTAACTGCAATGATAGGTCAGGCGGCCTACTGGGGACTCTCTGAAGTGACTGTGGACTGGCGTCTGTGGGCAGAATTGTGGGAGTAGCTGTAGGAAAGAATAGGAATTACATTCAGTTAGCCGTATGGCTGATCATTTGACATTACATTTTAAAGTGGCACTTAAAGTTTTATTTTAATTTTAAAAAATCACCTCCACCTCCTCTAAATCTCTCTGTATTGATGATATCTATGCATTTCATCACATGGACAGTCAGGGTCCTTTTTTGTTCCTATTTCAGTTTTGCAGCTTTCTACACTGCCTCCCCACTCATTAGGAGCAGTGTCATGATACTTAATCATTGTCTGATGAGGAAGCTGGTGGGAAACTGCAAAGCTGAAACTAGAAATCATGGTATTACCTGTGTTTCTATGCAGTGTTGATAAGATATTTGAATCATAAGACATAAGACTGGCTTTATAGGATTAAAGAAAATTACAGATCCTTTGGCAAGTAAAATAGTTTGAATATTAGGTTTTGGATATGGAATCCATCTCCAGGTATGGTCATTAGAGGGCTTTATACCATTGCACAATATCACCTGGCACCATCACTATTTTTTATTACATCTTGCATACCATAGTTAGCACTTGTTGAGCATTTTTACATTTTACATTGCAGAAGAAGGTTCTTTATACGTATTAGAAGATAATGGGCACATTAAAAACAAAACAAACTAACTCTTTTACTATATCCAGGGACACTGATGAGCTTTACTAATGTAACCTATAATACATTACCTGTCTTTCCTTTCCCTGGGCTTTGCTTGTGGTCATCACAGCTTGGGCCACCGTAAACCTTATTTAGTTTAAATTCACTTTGTCTGCAGTCTGCTCTTAACAGTTTAGAGAGATACTGTACATATCTGCCAACGAAGACTGAGAACAACAAGAAAGCACCTGCACTACATACCCGTTTGAATGATACATCATGATTTTTATACTCCATTTCATTTACTAGAGAAACAGATAACAAACTGCTAAAAGAATGCATCCCATGCATGTATTTAGCCAAACCTTTCACACACTTCCAAACCATATGATTTCATGCATACATCTAAAGAAGGAAGCTAGTTTGGCTCCCAAAGATTCAAACACAAACTTTATAAATCTGTCTAAAAGTGAAAAGAGAGTAATTATATGTGTGTCATCCACTCACCTGGGCCTAATTGTAGAGCTACAATTAAGTCCAGGTTAGCTGGTGAAACGCATCAGTGGGGTGGTCCCAGGCAGGTAAGCTTTTAAAGCGTCACCTATGGTCAATTTTGGGCATGGTAATTTTTTGCGATTTTGCGGGTGCGCGCAATTTTAAAGCATGACATGTTTGGTGTCTATTTACCCGACGTGACCCCGTCTTTTTATATTTTACCAAAAATATGGGTGATAAATGGGTGTGGTTACTGGGGGTGTGGCCACTAAAGGGTGTGGCCACTGAGGGGTGTGGTCACTGAGGGGCGCTGTAAAGCTTTCTCGCACAGGGCGCCTAAAGGCCTAAGGCCGGCCCTGAGGCAGGGACTCTGTAATTTTGTCTGGTTTAATAGTTTGTCAGTATTTGAATGTTTCAGAGTGTAGCCAGCTTCCTTCCTTTTGGATTTGTGCAATGTGTGGGGCAGAGGATGAGCCCCTGCTGATGTGCTGTATCTAAACTTCTGGGAGAGCGACCCAAGTTCAAGCTTGAGAGCAGTCTTTTGCAAGTTTGATTTATCCATGTGATTCCATACCACCAACTGTGGAAATCAGAATACAAATAGAGGGCTCCTTACCGCCTGCATTCCTCCTATTTTTCTTCCTGGTCTGAAAGCAAGTTCTTGTCCACACTGTACAGTGCAGACTGCAGACAGGGTTAATATAAACAATAAAATATATATTCACCAAGGAAATAAAAGTATAGGTAAAGGTTATATTCAAAAAGTTGACTGTTCTCCCTAAATGTATTCTAAAAGCACACTTACTTTTTTAAGACAACTGAAGATAGAATAGAGGATCTGATACTTCAATCTCAGGTTGGATAATCGTTTTGTTGTTTGCTTAGTATTGGTTTACTATACTAGTGCACTGTGCCATGCTGTCACCTACTGCTCTACCCAGGTGCCAATTGCTATTTTTTGTTTTTCCTTACACAGGAATAAGGATTAATAACCAAGCAAAGTGCAAGAAGGTGAATTTGCTAAATGTCAATATAGCCAATTAACATCTGTAAATGTTATTACAATATTGTGAATTTTACTGTGCCATGATACTTAAAATATACAGGTCATTTTTGTCAATAATTGCAGTAAAGTGTTTTGCGTGAACTTTGAAAATGTTTTATTTGTAACTCCCATGTATAAAATTATGTCTAAATGCCTTTGGCATGTTCTTATTTGTGTAAAAGCAGCAGGAGCCAGTTTTACAAACAACTCAGTTACAGTACATATCTGTGCCAGCTTACTCACATGCAGGTTCTGAGGCTGGGGTCTGGGAAGATTTGCATGAACTTCTTGAAGAAACTGAAGGAGTGCGGCAGGTACGGAGAAGTGAGGCACTACCTTCTAGCACATTGTAATGCTGGTCACTGTCTGCACTCAGGTCCTTGTCCTAAAAGTAAATATATAAAACGTAGTTTACTTTATAGTGACACATTTTTTTCTCGGTTATCTGAAAACACTGTACAAACATAAATTAATTTCCTTTTTGAGATTTAAATAATAATTCCAGGCAACACATACAATCAAAAAGTGAACTGCTATCCTTCAAACAATATGACTATGGTTAAATGCTCATTTAAATGGGGGGGAAAGATATACACTGAGTGGCCAGATTATTATGACCACCCCATCAGTACTTCGTTGGGCCACGAGATAACTCCACGAGATGACTTAGTTGCGCTGCCTCGTGACTCCACAAGATGTTGAAAGGTGATGCGAGGAATCTGACACTGCACTGTTGCCCTTCTGTTGTCTTGTACCAGTCTTGCCACTCTCCGTTCTGCCCTAACATTGACTAGTCGCTGACGGCCACAATTTGCACGTTCAGACCCAGATTTTCGGCTGACAGTCCAGTCTTTAAACACTTTAACAACAGCTGCTCTTGAACATTTAACAAATTCTGCTGTTTTGCTGATACTCAGTCCATGGCTCGCGCCAACAATCATCCCACGTTCAAAGGCTGTTAAATCGCGTTGTTTACCCATATCTTCAGAAAAAAATCACTTCTACTGTCTTGGTAAACAACCTGCTTCCCTATTTATAATGGTCTGGCCCTCTAGCAACTTCAGCGCAAAATTATAGCTAATTATAGCTAATTTGCCTACAAACGTTAGGTGGTCATAATAAACTGGCCACTCAGTGTATGTACAAATACTTACCTTATTCTTAGCTCTCCTGGTAGCCAGTACTCTCCTCCGCTGTCTTACGCTCCAGGATGTGGGAGTACTCTCTCTGCCCTCCTGTGCAATGCATTGAGTTCGATTGGTGGCATTTGAAAAACTCCTTAGTACTTACGTTGTTATGCATTAGTCTTCATGTATGTAAAATACAGCATGGAGCTAATGGTGGGTATGTTTGGGAATTCCTTTCCTGCATTAAAAAATTACCCAGAGCAGGATGGCCTATTTTCAAACTATACCTTTAATACAAAATAATGATTTTAAAGCAGAACTCTATGCCCTTTTTTAATACTTTAGCGCTTATATCTAGTAGCAGTTAGTCACATTCAACTGCACTTGTTCTTATATGTTGGAAACATTTCACTACTCATTAAGCTAGCTTCATTGAATTAGGGTGACTGAGTTACCGGTGAGGCAATAAATCACTTACTATAATTTTCTAACGTCCATAAAAATCATGAACATTTTTGCTTGGTGATTTTTGTTATACAGTAAAGCACAGCTCCATCTTTTTGTTTTAGATAGCATCAGTAAGTGTTAGAACCTCTGTTTTTTTTTTTTACTGCTGTCTGTCCCCAGACAGGGGATTTCCCCTCACTTTCTGTGTCAATGACAGGGGGGTCAGTGGAACAGAAAGTGATCAGAAAGCTATTTTGTGGGAACAGAGAGAGCAATAAAAAAAAATCAAAACAGCTTTTTCCACTCGAGCCACGCACAAGTTTAGCAGTGTTGCTGGGAGGACACATGCTGGGATTGGCTGGGATCCACACACAGCCAGGAGCAGGGCTAGAGCGCAGACAGCAGACCAGGCAGATGCATTCGGACGCTGCACCACAGGCTACCTCTCCTGATCCGGGGAACCAAGGCACCGGCGCGATGGTAGGCAAGTCTTTTTTAGTGAATAAATCTCTCCTACTTGTACCCTTTTTACAGTGGGGGCCTACTTTGGTAGGACAAGAGGTACGCATCACTCTACACTCTGTTCTTTGGCTCAGGTTAGGACAAAAAATGTAAAGCAGGTTAGTCAGCACTTCCTGTTTCATTGTTTAGGTCCAGGCCTCAGACGGCACAAGCTGGAAAAAAAACATTGTTCCAAAGTTGTGTAGAGAAGTTGATAGCAAAAGAGTCTGCAGGAATGTTCAAAGGCATTTCAGACTCCATGAGAGATGAGATGGTTTCCACTTTTTGGTCATTTTGCTCTATCATACAGACTTCGGCAGTGCCGAGCACGCTCGAAGCTACCAACCCGGGACATTCTGGGAGTTCAGCAGTGGCAGCAGATTATACTTGTAGCTTAGAAAGTCTGAAAGGAATGTGTTTCCAGCGGCGACTTTCTCTAAGAAGCCTGAGACTGCATGGCCACACTCTGCTGGAGATTGGAGTGGTTTGTTTTTCGGTGCGCAGCCATGTTCTAATGCCTGCAGACAACTTACTGGTGCAACAGATGGCGAGGTATGATTGTTTCTCCATTAGATCCAATATAAAGAACCCTAATGCCTCTTCCTTTGGTGCTAAGACATGGAATAGATTATTTTTATTCACATTCCTTTAGCTGAAATATTTTGAGATATAGGGGTGCGGGATGGATCACCCTGTTCTACCTTGAGGCATGGATGATGTCTGAAATTTAAAAGATTGGAGATGTTTGGTGTTGTGTTCCACACTCATCTCTTATTCTTCAACTCTTATTTTTATATCTGGCTTATTAAAGATAGGGATTTTACTATAATTTCTTAAGCTGGCCATTTTTTCCTCTCACTGTTCGGGTGAGTTTTCCTAATTGATTTAAATTTCACCTGGGTGGGTCTGCTCCTTCTAACTACACTGGTGGAAACCTCCAGATAATCTTTAGTGATCCTGCCTTTTGGGCTACATTGTTATATTTTTCCTTTATAGCTCAAGAGCCTTACTTTCTTGCTAGGGTTAAACTTGATAAGGCTCTATATATTCAGCACACGCTGAGAGTGCAAGTAAGCGGAAATGCTATGACGTTGTCCCACCTGGGAAAGACAGCTCATAATGTTTATTGCTGTGTAAGGGGAATAAGAGGCTGCATTTACAGATCCTAGTGTAACATCTTTACTACAGCAGATGCATGTGGTACCTCTGCAAAAGTAATAAGGTGGCTATATGCAATTTCATGCTTAATGGTGTATGCTGTTATTGGAGTTTTGAATGTATATGCATTGAACACATACATCACTTTTATGATCTTGGAGAAGAGCTCTTCTGGAAGTATTTGTGTACGTGTATATATACATATACTGTACATACATCTAAGAATTTCCTGCGGATCTTTTTGCACATAGTGTTAGGATTCAATATTTACTTCTATTTGCACCAAATGAATGTAGACACATGTAAACGCATGTAGACACATCTAAACGCATATGCATGTAAATGCACTCATACACATGTCATTAGAGCATCTAGAAGCATAGTCACAGATCTTTTTCTGCATATAGAGCTATAAAGTGCAAGTGGCAAGTTTGAATGTAGCCTTATAGTGCCTATTTTCATGTAAACTGGCACCTGCCAAGTAACCCTGGTTGGGTTAAGCACATCCCATGGAGGTTCTCCAGGGTGGGGCTTGGCTAAATGCATCCCTGAGAATTGGGCCTCACATATGCAGTTTAAAGACCATTAGCCTGTGTATATCATACTTTTTTAAGGGACTTTTATGGGACATAGCCTTTTTCCGGACTATGCTGTGCAATGTGCTAGTTTTGTCCTGTACACATTTGAAGCATGTATCTGACTTTATGCTTTTATCTTCTATTCATTCTCACACACAAAATGTGTTACTTTTCATTATGCATATATCAGGGATGATATCAAGGTTGTACTTGCCTGTGTATTATGTACATGACATAGACTGCGTAGGAATACTGACTGCTACCTGCATTCAGAAAGCGTTCTGCTTGATGCTTTACATGCTTTTGTGAAGTGTCATGCGTTTAGGGAACAGCCAACTAATCGATCAATCAATAATAATCGATAATGAGAAAAATTGTCATCTATTCTCAGTATCCCCTTTTAGAAAAAAAATCTATAGAAAATCTATAGGTGTATGGCCAGCTTTATAGAGACATGTACTTAACCTACATACAATATATAGGTATTACAGATGATTAACTAAATAAATATAACATTACCAATCAAGGGAGCCCCTCGACTTCTGAAAAGATCAGAAAGTCATGGATTGGACAGTATTCAAACAAGGTCTTTCAACAAGATGTCCTAGACGAGGCTCAAATAGACTTTGCATCTCACTCATATACATTACCTTCTTTCTGAGGGGCTAGTGTACAGTTAAAATCCAGTTAAAAAAGTATAACCATATAAGGAGTTTTTAGCAGGACAAAGGACCATAATTCATGGTGACTTAAGTAGGTGATAGTTCATAGCTAACAGTGTGTGTACAGACATACACATAAAACAATATGGATATATATATATTCACACATTAATATCCATAAAAAACTAATACTAAATTACCGGTGAACTAATAACCACTTATAAAATACTATTAGTTCTACAGTGTGCACTGCATTACCCTGGATAACATTGGGGGCAGAGGTTTTTTTTAGGTACACTATAGACTCTGCTGTCGGGTAGTCCTGGTGTGCCGCACTTAGACAGTTGTTGTTGTGTCTGCTTGGAGGATAGGATATTAACCATCCCTCTTTTTATCCTAACCCATCCATTGAGTAGGAGCAAGCTTTTCTACATTTAGGCTTTAGAAGGTGTCTGTGGTGCTACCTGGAAAGCAGTCACCCTTGGAGGAAATCCAAGAATACCTTGGCCTGTTTCAGGGCCTAAGAAAGGCTGCAAAACATCATAACACCAATGCCTGGTGACTTATGCATCCATTGCTCTATCATCTTTCAGAGTATCTTACGGCACTTTCCATTACGGCCTTAGCCTCATCTTGGGCAGGGAAAGCTGGAGTTTCACCAGAGCAAATATGTAGGGAAGCCACTAGGTCCAGTTCCAATTTCTTGTGTAGCACTACAGAGTTGTCCTCCTCTCATGTTGTGATCAGACTTTTGACAAAAAGGTGCTCCTGGCAGTTGTCCCTCTGAACAAGTATGCTCATTTCTCTCTTATCCTATCCTGTGCTGCTCTGGAAGATGAATTGGGAAAACATAAGTAAGGTACCTGGTAACTTCTTTTCCAGGAATCTTCCAGGCCAGCAGGAATTCCCACCTTGCTTGTTAAGGGGTGTGTTTCAACATGAATTTTATTGTTACGGTCTGGTGGTCCTAAGGCCTTCTGTTCTATTATAATACTGAGGTGGTTGGATGTGACCACACCTTTTATTTTAATTGTGGATAATGTGTTTCCTGCTTTAGGTGGGTGGATCCTCTCTCCTGTGCTGCCCTGGAAGATTCCTGGAAGAGAAGTTACCAGAAACCTAACTTACGTTATTTTCCTGCTATTATCATTTTATGCATGCTATATGTTGCATTGGTACAGGGACAGGTTGCACTTTTAAGGTATTAGGATAATAAAAAGGGTATTGTGTAAAATGAAAACATGGTTTACCTTTAGTACAGATGTGACAATGACTTCTGATGAGTTGTCATCCAAGCTCACCTTCTGTCTTCTTTCCACTCGCACATCTGCATAACTGACAACAGAGATTGTAATATCTTATACAAAAAATAATAATTTTTGAACTTACCATAATATTCATTTCTTGGAGTTTATTAAAAGATACAGGTGTTAGAAATTCTGAGAAAAGTGGGCTATACTGCCACAGGAGTAATTGGACACAGGTAAAGAAAAAAGGCATTGGCCAGCCAGGTATAACCCCTCCAACTCCTAGCATGCTTCAGTTTTGTAGAAAAACAGTAATAGGTGTAGAACACAAACACATAGAAGCGGGACCTGTGCCCCTCAATGAAATCCACAATTTTATGTGGGTACAAAAATCCTTTTAACATTTTTTTCATTCATTAAATATTGAGGCAATTGAGACATCCAAAACCAGCCCAACTGAGGGATTGGCAACAGTAATGAAACACTAACCAATAACAAAACAGTAAATACTGGGACAGCCTGAAGCTCAAAGAGCTTTCTGAAGGAGCTTACACTATGTTCAAACCTGGCATTAGATAAGGCCTGAGCATTCACTTGGTACAATGTAGAGAACTTTTGAGAAGAAGTCCAGGTGGCAGCCTTGCAAATCTGAGAAACAGTTGTCTGATGTGAAAAAAGCCTAAAGCACTCAGGAACCAGGTTTAGCACACCATAGTGATTTTCTGGCATCCCTGGGACGCCTACGCCAGGGGGCACAGCACCACGGGCCTCTGCCACCCCCCAGCCCTCCGGCCAGAACGAGCAAGCACCCATCCCTACCAGAAAGCATTAGCACCAGATGGGTACCTAACTACAACTGGGGACAAGCCCAGCGTAACCGGACCAGAATCAACCCAGGAGGAAAGGAAACCCCTCCAGCACCCACCTATCACATCAGGGAATACTAAACCACCATCTCCCGGTCCGAAGATGGTGTTGTTCTCCCCCAAAAACTGATAAGAACAGATACTACACTTGATCTTAGCCAAAAGATGACGGAGGGTGCAGGTACCTTTGGGACCTGTTCCTGAAGTTTGGGAGGAGGTTCTGTGATCTACACATGGTTAAACTTTTTCTTAATAGACAAACATGTCCATCTTCTTGGGACAAAAAAAAAAATCAAGCATTCTCAAAATGGGAAGGTTCTACCTGGCAGGCCAATGGCTTTTTTGTTTGCCTGTGTTCCTGTAGGTTGCTCTATAACCCAACTGTCTTTAAATAACTAACGCCTGTATCCCTTAATGAACGAGAAGGAAAAGTCCCTATATTCTGTTAAATAAACAATTTTGATCCCGTTTTTCTATGATCAACTGAGAAGTCACAAACTCCCAATGAAAATCCTTAATTTATAAGTTCTTTTTTTCCTTCTGCAAAAAGATTGACTAACTTACTGATATTACTACTAAGCACATGATTTATAGCTGCATTTTTAGAAAGACTGTCTGAACACTGCTGCTGTTGTATGCATTGGCACATGGATAAAAACCCACATTTTACTTCTATGGCTATTTATGGTGCACTGCAGTAGATACAAGAATGCACTTCAACACAGTGATGGTTCTTCAGCTTTATTTTGGATATTGATTAAAAAAAGTCAGTGTCATACCTATCGATTACCCTGATTCTCAATAAAAGAATCAGCCTTAGGGTCAAAGGAACTGTAGACGTGAGGATGGAAAATTCGGTTCTCCACCTGATTTATAAATGTCCTGAATCATTTTCTGGCATGTTAAGTGTCAAAGAAAGCCAGAGATAATTACATACCTCACAACAGTGTGTGTGCATACAATAAACTCTGGTTTGGAGTTCCACTGATGATATGTAATGTAGTAATGAGTCTGAAGCCAGATCCATTGTTGACCTTTGGTAAGAAACCGATAGCAGCAAGACTTTCCCTTACCAAACTGCATCACTGTCAAAACAAAAAAATAAAATAAAATAATTCATAAAAACAAAATAGTGAGCTTAGGTATCCCTGTACTGTAGTCTGTTATGATTAACACCATGGCTGCCTCTCTGCTCTCTGCACACCCCTATTTGTTAAGTCTATACGCCATTCCTAGTACTGACTTGTCCTTCAGAAAAAATAGCTCTAATAGCTCCCTTGGGCTGCCAGTATATCTGACTGCACAAACATAAAGTTCCCATAGATATTAAATATTTTTTGGGTTTTCCTGATAAGTTCCTACCTATTGCATTACATTACACATTGGACATTGTCATTCATCCTTTACAACAACAGTAACATAAACATTTGAGAGGACATTTAAAAATAAAACTGAACACTAGGACTATGCACAATAATCGGTAACCAGGGATGCACCGATAACCATTTTTTTCCAGGCCGAGTACGAGTACTGTTCCTCAAGTACTCGCTAGGGATGCACCGATACCAATACAAAAATCTATTCATCTACAAGATGTTTTTATTGAGTTCTACAAACAAAATATATTGCCATGCAAACATGTCAAAACCTTTCTTCAGGCTCTGATTCTGAGATAATGTAACATAATAATTTGCAAATCACATAAAAAATGTATTGCATTGCACTGGTATGAAATTTGTAGCCTTCATATGATATTTGTAATAAAACTTTATGGTTCTTATAAGTATGAGAGGACAGTGGTCGGCTGCTTTCTGCTTGATCTATGCTTGGCTATAGAATGATGCTGGTCTCCCCCTGCTAGGGTGGAATGAGCATTAGGGCAGGTTAGAAAATTTGCCCCAACTGCATCTGTTCCTTTTGCGAGGCCACGCCTCCCCTATTCATTGAAATAAACTTGTAAGGTTAGTTGTATCATGCTGTAGAGGCAGCTAAAAGGCAGTTGGGTTATGTATACTTTCTCTAGTCTAGGTAATAGTGGATAGTGCTTTGCTTATACGTTGGTTACCGGGGGTTGGAACCTTTTTGAATGTAAACAAGGGGTTCTCTTAATATCTTTGTAAAGTGTCAACAAACCTAAAATACTAGTATTGGTATATTAAATATTCTGCTGATAAAGAAGATTATATTTTATAATCTTCAGTAATTATAATTTGGTGTAGATAAATGTAGTTATGTTGCACACAGCAGCTAATTAGAATCCATACAAAAATTTATTTAGAGCTTAACTCCTAGCTTTAGTTTATATAAATCTACAATTTTCCTACTTTTATGTTTAACCAGTCTGGGTACTTACAGTGTTCATGGCACTTTGCTATGATTTCTAGGTCATCTACATGATAGTAGTCATATCCAGATGTACCAAGAACTTCAAAAGGTAAATATCCAATGATTGGTGGAGCTCTGCACAATAAGAGAACAATGTCAGAGTTAATGGAGTGGATTCAGAAAACACTCAAGAAAAACAAGAAAGGAAAAGTGCACACTTACAAAACAAAATTAGAGAAAGAATAAGAAATCTAAATCTCATTAGAGTTAGCTGACGAAAAAGTAGTGTACAAAAAAAGGTCAATAATACGTGGACTCTTTTTCAACCATTGCATTTGTGGCTCAGGGTAAGTAGCTGACTATATCATAACTGAGCACATTATCTGAAAATCCCATAGGTTTTCATTGGTGCTTTTTTAGATCAGTATAATGGCAAGGTGGTTGCCCATGCAAACCTGGGGAGATCATACAATGATTCCTAGTGCTGGTAGCCTGTGGTGCAAGAGTGGATGTCTCTGGTGCTAACACTTTGTTCAATTTTTTAAAATAAATTTAGTTTACCTAGAGGGGATTACTTGCTTTTCTCAGCAGAATTGGAGTTAGACTTTATGGGTTACTTTAAAATGTCAGGTCATTAATGGGTTGCTTCCCCGAAACACAAGCTTCACTGTTTGTTGCATTCACCCACTGACACTTGCTGATACGCACAACACACTCTATTCAGTCCTAAGAAAAGGTCTTACTTCGCTGGAGCAGGAACTCTCCACAGGATGGAATAGAGTGTACTGCACAACTCATAAGAATGTGAAAAGTGTTTCATCAGCTTTGTGGGAAATATCTTCCTAGATTGGACATAGGTGAGTATAAGACTTGCAAAGGAGCTTGGGTCAGGGGACAGTAGAAGTGTAAAAGGATCTCAATTCAAACTACTTGAAATGCAGAACAGCTTGCTCAAAATGCAGAACACTGGATTCTTTCACAATACACAGCAATGTAATGTTGAGGCAGCAAAAAACTCTACAAAACTTTCTCTTCCAATGTGACATCACAGATTATATAACCAAATTCAGTGGATATATGTCACTGCGTCAGTCATCTGTTTCCCTGTCATCTATGCATGATCTTTTTAAAGCTCTTCTTTAATTAGCATACTATGTAAAACTGTAAACATCAATAAAGTACAGAGGAAGGGATGGCAATAAGTGTGTGGGGGCTATGAAGGGTGTGTGTTGAGTAGGGGCCTAATTCAAAATCTTCATTGGGCCCATACAAATTTAGTTATGTACTAGTTACAACCTTAAAGATATTGAAGCCAGAAGAATAGCATCACAGCCAGGCAAGTAGCATTATTAGAAGGAATGGCAGCCCATGCATTTCTCTTAAATCAGGTTTGCCTTAAAAAGGTATTTTCTGTAATTTATTTGCAGTTGGAAGTCTTTTTGTTCCTTTTGGCACATTCTATCTCAACTTTAATCCACTTGTAATGTACCTGTGATCTAGTGATAGGAACTTCCATTCAAGACTGTGCCTTGACGTGAATTCTTCAAAAGGCTCATCGACTATACACATTTCCTGCAAATACAAAAATACACAAACTGTAAAGAATTTTGCTAAAGTGACATTAAACCCTCAGATTTTTTAACATAAAACAATACTGTAAAATACTGTAATGTGTGCCTTACTGTAATCCATGGTTGTTTCCCTTCTCTTTGCTGCTCTTCCTTTTAAATCTGTATCTGTTCTCATGCTGGGCAGAACTTCTGTTTTGCAGCAGACTGCCTTGTCTCAGGAATGGATACACGGTGTATGTGTATAGGTTTGTATAGGCTTGTAACCTGAGCCAGCACTACAGGAAGAGGCCCTAAGCTGCAAAGGGAAGTTCTCCCCAAGCATGAGAAGACATGAGGATTTAAAAGGAAGAGCAGCAAAGAGAAGGGAAACAACCATGGATTACAGTAAGGCACACATTACAGTATTGGTTTATGTTAACAAAACTGAGGGTTTAATGTCACTTAAGTGTTATTTGTATGTAAAATAGATAGTGATTTGAAAAAACATTTTAATTTGAAATAAATACACTCCCTTCTATGAACTCTGGGAAACCTATTGTACATGAAGGAATATTTGCAATTACAGTATTTTTTTAAACAAGTTTTAGTGCTGAACTCCAAGGTAAAGAAGTATTGTCTGAATCCAAGAGGCTTGTCTATTCTTGCTTGAATCTTGGTGTGTTTTGTGGATTTCTTCCAGATCTGTGGCGCAATCCAGTGAAATTTTGCCTCTATGCAAGAGCTTCCTGTAATAAAGACCACTTACTGCTGCGCTCTCTCTTTTTAATTGGTCTTGTATTCTCACTGTCCAGTAGTTTTCTGCAAGTATGTGAGCCTACTGGGTCCATTCTCTGCTCTCTGCACAGGTTATGTTCAGCAAAGTGATGACATCACTGCTACTTTTGTATGGAAATAACTTGAGTTTGCAAAGGTATCTCTAACACACAACGTGGATTTATATACTTTTTATCCAGTAATAGTTTTGTGGATCCTACAATGTCACAGGCTTTCACAGGATGCTTTTTAATAATTGATTATGTTTTTGAAATAGTCATATTCTAAGGATGCTCTAAAATGCTTTTTGATTCATTAGTCATCTCTCTGAATACATGAGATGCAAACCTGGGAACATTCCATATTACTTTATTCTGATTTACAATATGACACCACTTTCATCTAAACTACCACAAAAAAAGGTACCTGAAGTACAATAATACCCTTAGAACCCTTAAAATACCTTCCATTGCTCTATTCATTTTTCTGAAGAAAGCATCAGTCAAACTTAACGTCAATTCTCCTCTATAAGAGATAGCAACATCAAATACAATTGGTTAGGGATCTGACTTTTATGGAATCCTGGTGCAGTGTTTTCAAGACAGATAAGTAGCTGAGGAATTCTTCTAGCAGACTGAAACTACAACTAAGGCAGTCTGTGGGGCAAGTGGGCTGTTTTACTTTAGGTATACTTCTGGGCTAGTTCCCAACAGTGGTTGCTGGATGGTGCTGTGCTGAATCCCTGAAATGGTATTGCCTGATTGATACTACTAAGGATACTCCTGTGGATTGCCATATACCTTTATGTTATAAGAAACACTGACGCTCACCCTCATTGTGTGGTTGTGCTGATATCACCTGGCTAGTGCGTGTATTCCTATAACTGTCTAAACTTACCTAATAGATAATATCATTGATAAGGATCCTAATTAAGCAGCATCAGATGTGCTACCTATTCCTACTACTCACTTGCATTAAGGAGTGATTTCTGTACTCTGTTGATACTCGGTTACCATAATTGCTGTTAACCCTTGCTGTAGGGGTTGAAGCGGCATACCCCCACCTTCATATGTGCTGGTACCCACTACCACACTCACACGGGGCTATGATGTGTAGCAGCTCCCTCTAAGCCTCTACAAACACAGGGCATTGAGGACTGAGCTGCACGACTGAACCCCATTCTTCTAAATACCATAAACGCATACTCCGCAGCTGTGATCCACACATACGCACAGGGAAGCGGGGCATAACACCACCCTCTAGAAGGAAGGAGAGTGTCCGCACCTATTCAGAAATGATTTGAGGATCTACAGCTGACTGATGCACAAAAAAGTTACATTTTTGTTAATAGTTAAGGTACTTGAATTCATTTTTAAGATTTAACTCCCGAGTTTAGTGTCACTTTAGGGCAAACACACAAAATCATAGAAAAAATATGTTGCGGAAAGGTGAAATAAGGGCCCTTTGCTGCAGGGCTCTGGAAAATTAAGCATGCTAAGAAAGAATACACCTAAAAACTTCCCAATTAAAAAGAAAAATTACAGAATGTTTGTCACAACAAAAAGATAGTGACTACTCAGTTAACACGTTAGCACTAATGATGAAGCTTTACCACTTACCTTTAAAAACTGAGGTGTTGCAAGCCGGACTGTAGCAATAAAGCAAACCTGCTTGTTGAGCTGTGATCTGTATGTTCTTGAAACAGCTCCTTCATAGCCATTACACGAAGGGATTGGCACTGCAATGATAATGTGTATGTTTTAATGTTTAAAGAAAATATGTTATCTTCAGTATCTGTGGTTGACATGAATAATAAATCAGTAAGGTCTGTCTAGCATATAATATCTATATATCTTTTGTAATTGAATTTGCTGTCTAATGCACTGTATTGGTCAGAATCCCTTAAAGTATATGTAAAGTGTATGCAATAAAAAAAACCGGATTGGACCCTCTAAGTTTTTATGATTCACTCCTCCATTTGTAATGGTCAAGGTGATAACTGTCACATTGACAGAAAACAAGAGGAAATCTAAAATTTTGAGTTGTCACCAGAGCAAGAAGTAAGGGAAAATGCTGCAAAAGGGACCTTCTATTCAATTTTGGGAGATTTTCTCTCATTTCCTGTTGTATCTTAAGGACGGAAAGTCAGAGGAAATCTCCCCAGAAGGCAACAAATAACCTTCCACACTCTATCTAAAACTAAAATAAAATGTTTGGCTTTGTACACACTTAAAAGCAAACATGTTGCATTGCCCTGATGCCAGCCCCATGAGCAGTATATATTCACTTTTCCTTTGCTTTCTCACTGCCAAGAGTGAAGAAAAATACCAGGCACACCTGCTATTGGGGAGCACGTGCCTCTCTCCCCTTCCTCCCACATGACAGCACTGATGCAAAAGTATAGTAGCAAGATAACAACAAGGCATTAAAGGAGAACTATGGGGTTAGGGCTTTTCCCCATAGTTGTTAGGGTAACGGCAAACTAGCATCCTCCTGTCACCCTAAGCTCAGTATAACGCGAGCTACAGCGGTATACTAAGACGCCGCAGCTGAAGCGGATCCCGACAATTATGTCTGGATCCGCCCAGCTGCGTGAGTGACAGCTGGCTCTGCCTGTCTAGAGGCAGAGCCAGCTGTACCCGCCCCCTCCCCCGTCCGTTCCCCCAGTCAGCGCTGGAGGATCGGAGCCGGAGGGGGGAATCCAGCCCCTCCCCTGTTACGCCAGAGAGCCGTGACAGGATCGAGAAGTGAACGAACGCCGGTATGTGTTCGCTCACTTCCCGATCTACTGAGCCGACCTGTGACAGTCTCACATTGTCACAGGTCGGCTAGAACTATGAGGTGAGTGAAAAGCACTCACCTCATAGTTCTCCTTTAAATCAATGAGAGGTGCAGGAAAGGAAGGAGCACATAAATAATTCATATTTTTTTACAGGCATGTAATGTAAAGTGGTCTTCTCCATCTATGGCTTGGTTTTAAGTGTCCCAAGCTTTACTGAATTTTGTAAACCAGTGCTTTACTGCCCTTACCCAAATCATTATTTAAAATATGTATGATGGAGGTGATTCCACCCAAACCAATATGTGTTCTACATATCTCTTTGGACTCTAGTAGCTAGATTTTATAAGAAAATATAAAAGAAGTTATAACAAGCAGATTTGTCTTCCAAAGTTGCGTGTCTTCATTAATATATTCAAGCTTAATGTTTCTCTACAACTCAGCCAGCATCTGCTGGGAACACCTAAGGATGTGGACCTCTTCAAACTTATCTATGTTGAAGAGAACAAAAACAGCCAGACCTTTTGAGATCCAACGACAAATAGTTTATGTAATAAGATGTTTTTTAAATGAATTGTTGTTTTCAAAGTTTTTTTGGAAAGTTGTTCTTCGCAAGAGAAATCCCATTTAAAAACAGACAGCATTATACACCAACTAAAATGTAAGCTTCACCTTCATCTTTTTACTATAGTTTGCTCTTTCATTTTGTTTATTACGTTTATTTTCCTAGCATGGTCAATATGTAGCTAAGAACCTTCCCCAAAATGTTATATTTCAATCCTTGCGTTACAAAGTTTTTTTTTTCTTTTTAAATACTTTCATCATAGTATTTTTAGGCACAAATAATGAATTGTCATCTGATTTGCCTCCAACAATGAGTCACACTGAAAAAAAAAGCAATCCTTAAAAAAATGAAAACCAAATGAGCAATAAGCTAAAACATGTCCCCTGCTGAAAACACTGGCCTGATTTTTTTATTCCCGTATAAAACAAAATGACATTTGGAATCAATGCTCTGTACACAAATATGTATGTCCTTCCCCAAACACTTTCCTACATGTTATAAACATGCTTTGGACCAGAGAGGTGAAATGAGGGCACTGAGTAACACTGCCTGCAAGGGATGTGAAGGAAACGCAGTGTGGTTTCTGGAAGGCAGGCGGAGGAATTTCTGCAAAGGATGACCTATTTGGAAAGACACCAGCAGCATTTCAATTACTGGTCTCTGTAATAAAGTAGGCAAATAAAGTGCAGACAGTCTTGCCTGTGTTTTTACTTACTTACTAACCTTCGCTAATACATTCACTCTAAAGTACAAAAATCTAACTTGTGTTGTAGCCCCAAATATCAAAGTGCCATTGTCTGAGATCCAAGCTAAAGGTTGGCCATTGTTTCAGAACCCTAATACTTTATTTTTTTCTATAGACATCTTAAGTTAATAGAATCTCCATCATTGTACGGTTCTCAAAAATGTATTGTGAATCCCTGTTTGGTTTCTCAGTTTTAGATTACACACCTATGGCCCAGATTATAGAATGTCAAGCTCACATTTGTATCAGGTGAATTATTCATTATTCTGTATGTAAACTTCTGGACATAGAAAATATGCAAGTGAATTAATATTCAAAAAGTGGGATTGCTTAAAGCCTATTCATGCCACAAGTATTTGATATATCGGCGGTAAAGCCACACTGTTCCTTATAAAACATATAACCAAACTACTCAGCTTAAAGGATAAGTTCACCTTTTGCAAAAAGTAAAGAAATGCATATTTAATATAAAAAATAAATGTATATATGCTTTTCTTTAATTTTTAAATTCAAGCCTGGAAAGCATGGCACCTGTGATCACTCGATCAGGGCTGCAAAGCTCAGGCTTCTGCACATTCTCTCCCAGGCAGAGCTCCGTACTGAGGTATGGAGTTTCAGTTAGGATAGATGGGGGGAAGGACGGCTGGACTTCAAACTGCATTAAATCACCTCATACGGCGTCCAGCCATCCTCGCTTGGTAGAGCTGCCCATATTCCCGCATCTACGTACAGCGAGGACAGCTAGATGCTGTATGAGGGGATTTCATGCAGTTTGAAATCCAGCCGTCCTTCCCCCATCTCTCCTAACTGAAACTCTGTAGCACCATACGTGCTCTGCCAGTTTGAAAATGTGCAGAAGCCTGAGCTTTGCACCTGTGATCGAGTGATCACAAATGCAATGCTTTCCAGGCTTGAATGCAAATATTAAAGAAGTGCATATTTTTTTGACATATTATGAATTATGCATTTCTTTAATTTTTGCAAAAGGTGAACTTATCCTTTAACAAAGAAGATCCTTCACTATCAGTCACCTTCCAACTGCAACATAACAGTATTATTTTTAAATAAGCTACCATATGTCGGGCACAGGATAGAAACAGCACAGCAAGCATCCACAGCAGGAAAGTGGTGACGGCATGCTAGGCTCTGCTCCTTTCTGATATGATGTCACTGTATTGGAACGCATTTCCAGGAAGACACATCCCCTTCATCAGCCACTTTCATGAGGGTTGTGGTGCTGTTTCCATCCTGTGCCTGAAGAGCGTTTTTTGTAGTCAGGGCAGCCTTACCCAGCTAAGGGATTATTTTGTGACGTTTTGTGATGATTGCTGCTTATGACTTTGCTGCCTTTCCGGCATATTTGTTTGTGAGTGCATCTTTTATGTGTTTTATTAATAAATATACTACGCTATGGAATTGTTGCACCAATCTTCTGTTTTGTCTCATACCTTAGATTGTAAGCTCCCAGAGGGCAGGGACTGTTATTAATGTGCACTGTGTAAAGCGCTGCATTAATTGTCAGTGCTATATGAAATACCACTAATACATAATAATATTAATGATTATACATCTGTCTAACCAGGGGAGTTCTGTTTCCATTTAGTCAAATTGTGTATTAGGATTTGGAACAAAGGAATACATTTTAAGTGGAAAATGTGGTAAAGGTCAGCAGTGTACACACACTAGGTATTTTTTAACATGGTAAGCCCTTGTAAAGGGAAATTTAAGTTTAAGCGCTTTGAGATGGAAATTTGACGTAGATACATCAAAAAACTAAAATTGTATTAGTTCTAACATTTAATATGGTCTTCTATTTCTTCTTGTAGCTTTAGAAGGGATGTAATTGGTGGACTAACACACAAAAGGAGGCTAACCATGTATGTTGCCACCTTATGCTGTATATGGCCCAATTAGATGACCTTGACTTTTGGGTTTGGTCTGATTTTCCTAAGGAAGGGTTATAAGGTCAGGATGAAACCCTGTCGGTTTCCACACTAAAGGCTATCGTGTAAAGCACCATTGATCCTAGCTACCACAATAGGCATGGGAAGGCCTATGTTTTAAAGGTTCAATTTCAGGAACTCTCAATCTACTCAGTTGAAGGTCCTCTCCATGTATATAAAGAGCGAGAGCAAAGTGAAAGTCCTTGACCAGGAGCATTTGATAACATGCTCTATCTAGCATGTGCATCTGTTTACCAAAGGATTTACATACAATGTCAAAGCGTCCTGCATAGGTCTGAAATACTACAGTTAGGTCATGTACTTTATGATGATACATGGGGCCTGAGAAGACCTATAACACTTGTATCTAAGGAAGCTTATTAAGATGACACTGTCTAATGAGCTCTAATGTATTATTCAGATCCAAGAACAATATCTTATTCGCAGTAGTATTTCACTTCATAATGTTGAACTTCACATGCTCAGGTTATACTGATAAGTGACAAAAATAAAATACTTTGTTCATGGGCTGTATATTACACTACTAATTAAAGAACATATGGGTAATTTTATTACAATATAGATAAACCTGCACTCAAATAAAATAGACTTACATTAAAACATGCTTACCATTGCTGCAAGACCGAAAATGTCCAACACACCTAATATATTCATAGGTTGGGTACTCTTCGGAGTTTAAAGTTCCTCTAAGAAGATGACAACAGAATTCCAAGTCACTGTCAGCTGAAAAATTGATAGAAAGATAAAATAATTCTTAAAACTTACAAAATACTGACAGCATGAGATGGTAAGGGAGCTTTTAGTTGGTTGCTTTTAAAGATGTTGGTTTCAGAGCTATCACCCAGTTTCTAGTTTTACTACCTAGTGAATTACTGACTTAGAAAAACCATGCAGAATTGAAGTACAGATTTTCTTGACTTTCCTAGCTGTGTTCTTGCACTAGGTCAGGTTATAACCCTGGACTTTGCATCTTTAAAACCAAGTCAGAAATGACAGTTACCATATTTGTATCATCACAAATTTGCTTTATATTGTTTAAACCAGTGGTTCTCAACCTGTGTAACCTCAGGACCCGCATTTGTCCCTGGTCATTAAGTTGTGACCCAAGTCGCACCACACTGGAATGCAAAGCATTGTGGTACCATGCGTTCTGGTGCAGGCGATCAAACTGTGGGTGGGAGTTGCGTTTAGGTTGCCATTGGGGTGCAATTAACGCACTGTACTAGTGTGAACGGGCCCTCAAAAACACTGACAGACACACACAACCACAGACACAATCTCACACACACATACACACTCCAAAACAAATTAAATTTTTGATCTTTTTTAAAGATCCATCCAGTCTCCCTATAATACGAGAACTGGAGTGGATCCTCAGCCTGGGGTCCAGTGTTGACTGCTGTGCTGTGATGGGGCTCCATCCATATGTGCATTGCTTGTACAGTTCTCTTGTGTGCCGTGTAGAGGTGCCGGGAGACAGAATGTGACTTCACTCCGGTCCAGGCATCTCTACAGGACACTTAAGGGAGCTGTAAACAATGCACGTATGGATGGAGCTGCCTCGCAGGCCATAACCCCCATACCACACCACCTCGAGCTGACACTTGGTGCCTGAAAGCATATTTTGAATGGCTGCTTGGCATGAGGACTGACAGTGCAGCGCTAGAGGGAGGCTGAGGGGCCTCTCACCTAGAAAAGTGTAAGACTGCAGTGACCCTTCACTGCAGTGCAGTGAAGGGTTTAAAGGAAATGTACATTTTTAGATTGAACTTAAACTAATACTGACATCCTACTTGACCTCTACAGACAAAAAGAAAACAGTAGGAGGTAACTCAAATATTTTATGCAACATTATGGATGGTGCTGTAGAAACCAAGATGATTTTGTGGACGGCTAAAAAATATAATACATTAACTGGACAGTTGGCTTACAACTCCTTATTTTTAGGGGTAAGAATAGAAATTGGACAACATTTTCACACTAATCCACTTGATCTTTTCCCTTACAAAATGGGCAGATCAGGCATATGTAATTTCCTGTCTTTCCAGGATCATGTGGAGCAATACTTTCTGAGTCACTGACCTGGAAACCTTATGCAGATCAAAAATTATCTGACTTTACTCTGATTTTTGAATCTGCATGCTGATTTCAGGTCAGTTACTCAAATTACTGAACCAGAGATAGCCAGGCAAATTGTATTCTTGGAAGGAGGTCAACAGTGAGTCTCCACAATTCCCTCAGCAAAGGTTTCCTTTAGGAAGCAAAGAGGGATTGCCCAATAACAACTAAAAGCAAAAAATGAGATTACTTTTAAAAATTGTATTTCCTAAAATGAATTGTCTGTGTACTTTAAATGTAGACAAATCAATGTTTATATATTTTATTAAAGAAATCTAGCAAATCTAGCAAAGAAGAAAATACATTAACACGTGCACGCAGCTGCTCAATACACTGGGCAACCGGTTGCACAACTGGTGAAATTAAAATGAAAACTACTTACAATTCAAATAATTTAGTGATGCAGAATCTGTCACAAGCATATGTGAAGACAGGATTTTATAGATGTCTGAATGTTCTTGTTCTGGTAGAAAATTCAACAAGTTTTGATCCATGATGTCAGACTGTTCAGGTAAAAGAACATAAGTAACAAATGTGACAGTGATATTCATTTGTCATGAGCAAAAGTCCCATTTAAAACAATGTACTGTTCAGTCTGAGCAGCTATCTAATTCATGGCAATGATTTGGGGGATGACGGAGGATCCTCCAAGCACTTATAAGCCCTTAGCTAAATAACAGTTTATCCTTTGTTATGAAATGCTATGCTTTATTTATCTTTACATGGACAGTATATAATTCTGGTTATCATACCCATTGTGACCACAACGTATGATATTCAAACCCAGTTTTTATCATAAACAAGCTCCACTGTGACATGACAGAATGTAAGTATTTCCTAAGCTTGCCATACACTATAAAATAAGTCACATAAGCAATACCTTCCTCACCAGAAACTCACCGTCTCAGTTCAGTAAATGTTATATGAGCACAATTACTACTGTCTACAATGATATCCAAAATTATCACAGGGAATCAGATGATAAGTTTTCATTTCATCAGACCTCATGAAAATTGCACAACTGAAACTAAGCTGTAACTACAGTCCACTGCAATCAATTATTTATTTTATGACTGGGATCAACTAAGACAACCCTTAACAGTGCAGCATTGTTTGATCATATATGAGTAACAGTGATCTAGCAATCTCTGGAACAGTGAATTGGTGCAATTTTTGGTGATTATTCATGCAAATCTCTGATCAATCATTGGTGACACTTTGTGACACTATTGCTCAATTCTCTGCAATTACATGTGCAGTTTGGACCTAGGTATGCAATTTATTAAGACAGTTTTCTGACACTGAAAAACAGATTTATTCTTATCAATATGACAATTATTGATATGTGTGGCAGTAGTATTAATCTTTCAACAAATCCAAAAAGACTCATAATGAGAGAAAGTAAAATGTAATGCTCACTTACTGGTAAATGCCCAAGCAGTGGTGTAACACTATCGGAAACATAGATAATACTTCCATCTGCAGTAAGTGCAATAATGAAGCCATCCAGAGCCTACAACATAAGAAAAGGATTGCATATACTTTTTAATATAATAATACAGTATTGCTACTTTCCATAACTTTTTTTAACCAAAAGCCTACTTTCCTGGCCTCCTTATGTCAGCATACTTCGGGGTCCTCTCCAACCCTTGACCCCCTGTAGGACCACCTCAGTAGTCTAAATATTCAAGCTAATCCCTCCATAGAGTGTTCTCTTTTTGTCCTCGCTCCAGGACTATCCTCTCTAGATTAAGGTAAATTCTCCTAGATAGTTGTGCCCCTTGGTGCTGGGGTTTTGTGTCATTTTGACTAAATGATATAACATTGCTATCCTGGTGGCCTCGTTGTAGCAGTATAACCGTACGTTGCTAAATCTCGTCAGAGCTGTGTCCTTCAATAAATGATAAAGAAATGATCTTCTACTGGTGAAGCTTCCATTTCTAGAAAAGTTGGAACAATTCTACAGTTTTGCTCCACCACTGGCCTACTGCAGAATCTCGCTTGCCAGCATGGGAGCAGAAACAGTGTTAAATGTTGCTGGTTCGGCAAGTGAGAAAATAACGTCACCAAAGCTGGTTTGTTTTTTTCTGTTTTCTAAGGGATTGTGTTATTGGCAATTTGCCTCCAGCCACAGGTTCACTAGTGTGACAGAGGGCAAAGGATCAGGGGCATCACTTTACAACTTATAAATATATAAAGGATAACTTTAAAGGCTAAGGCTTGCCTATAATGTAAATTTTGTTTTACATTAGAAATATTAATTATCCATCATTGTGATATTAAACCATGGTATACAGAGCTCTGAAATAGCTACCTTTCTCCAAAATGATCGCAAGTCTATGCAGAGATAATGAAGCTATCTTTGGCTCTTCAGATGCAAATTATTTTCCCTTTGCCATATGAATGTGGAGAGAGTCCAACTATGCAATCAGCATGGAATTATGATGAGCTAAAGTCAGTTCAGTATAGAAAATGTACACACATCTTTCACAGCAAGCACAATAAGTCAGATGCAGTATTGCTGCCTTAAGGTAGGCAAAAAAAAGCACAATACTTCTGGTATCATAGAGGCAGCACAAGCTTCAAAACAGAGAGAGCTGAGAACATTTTTTTTATTCCATACAGTACTTGTACAAAGTCTTGTGTTCTCATGCTAAATGTTCTCCTTTATGCAATCTGTTTTCCTACTGAATGAAAGAGTAGCACTAGCTTCTAGAATGGAAAGTTTAAATTACGCACTTCATTTGTAGTGAAAATGAAGTCTGCATTCAATAACTAATATGTCAGGGACTGCAGCACCTCCAGTTGGCACTGTGGTGCTAGAACCAGATCCTGCAGTTCCAGTGCTCACCTGCAGGTGTCTCCAGCCAGTAGCTGTCAGGTACCAGACCACCTCTGGGTGGCATTGTGGCACCTGCGAGTGTCTCCCGCAATTAGTCACCACCTGGTGCTGGTCTAGGGAGGTATTTAGCCTCTCCTTGCAGTGAGGCCTGTGCCTCAGCATTGTTGTTGTCCTGCTCCCCAGGGTTTGCCCTGTTGTCTCCGGGGTGTAATTGTTACTTGTATTTTTATATGTTACTTGCGGTTGTTGGTGGGGTGCTTATGGTGGTGGTGTTTTTGGAGTAGCTAATAAACTACTGTTCATAAGCATTATTTGGTGTGGTCACATATTTGGTTCTCCTGTATAGATACCTGCATGGGGTGTGGGGACACCCGTGCACGGTATCGTGACATAATAACAAATTGGATAAAGGATTGACATGGCTGCAAATGAGCATACAATTGCTTTCTTACCTCCAGCATTAGCTGAGTGAACTCTTCATTGCTGAGAAAAGATGGCTTCCAGTTTAGATGAATATCACCAATCTTTGTCTGTGCTGTAACTTCTGCCCATACAGAAAAAAATATATTTAAAATATTATTTCTGGATAGTAGAAAATAAAAAAGCAACTGAAAGAAGAATGGATACTCATCAAACCTTAATACATTACTAACTGTTCTTATAAAGATGTTAAGGTAATTTGATTTAGATGGTTTACATGTCAAAAGCTTACTCCAAGTTAGAACTGTATGTATCACAATTACAATCATTCCAGATTACTGAGATACCCATTCTATGTACAGAATAATAAAAATAGTCCCATTGCATACCAGATACAACACCATTCAAACAAGCAATTTCAGGGTGCGGTATTTGGTATCAAAGTGAAACATGAATTCTACTCTACACTGAATGCTATGCGATCCGGGCTGGCTGGATCAGGCAGACGCGCCCTCCAATCAGGCACTGTAGAGGCCCGCTCGCAGTGGCCTCGGAAGAGCGAGCGGCCGCCCGATGACAGCCGGGTGATCGTGTCAGAGAGAGGGAGCCATGGCTTCGTTTAGCGGGGGTCGTGACAGCGCCCCCCCTCAGTCCTGCGCCCGGGGCAAGTGCCCCCCCGGTTGTTACGCCACTGCACTGAATACAACACCAACAAGCTCATTCAATAAAGCTGTGTAAAGTCAACAATAACTTACAATTATCAGTGAAAAGATCATACATGATCAGTGATAACTTTGTTAACGGTTAAAGACAGCACTTATAAAAGTATCCATAGAGTAATAAATGCAGAGCTAGTAATAAATAACATAGAGAAGGTAAAAGCCCATAGCAAACTAAAATATGCACATTCAACCAAATACAAGAACTTAGTTTGGATACAGTTCATACTGAGAAATAATTTCTTCTCAAGCCATTTTTGCTTGTAAGGCTTTCCACTATTTATTTAAAATATAGAACAGAAAAAAAAGCTAAATCTGGAATGCTGCTGGAATCGTTCCTGTGTAGTATCCTGAAAGGTTCCCATTCCTAAAACCGAAACCTGTGACCTGACTATGGAGAAAGTTGGGCAAAAAGCAAATGTAAATTTAAATGGAGCCGAAGTCGAGCCTCACTGATAACAAGGCAGAAGTCACATTTTAATTTTCACAAGAAAATCTCTTTAACTGTATTAGGTGTCTTTACTTATTGGTGTTGATGATGCAAACAGACATTTTTCAAACAGAGCTTGAGATGTCTGAGCTACAAGCTAATGCAAATCATTTGCAGTCTGTGAATATGAGTCATAGATAATGTAACTCTTTCACATTCTTGCTTTCCGAAAAAATAAATCGCCCACGCAACATGCTTTATATGTGAAAATGAGGATTGCCTTTTCTGCTACATACGTCACGCAAGTCATTACCAAACATTTCATGTGTTCTGCAATCCATTAGTTTCATATGTGTATCCTCCAATTTTCAATTAAAATGTACTCTGTGTGCTGCTAATCATCAAGTCTATACTTCTATTTCTGTAAGCAACAGTAATGTTCTTTACAGAATAAGCAAACTTTCTACTTTCACGCTACTACTCCACACCAATACTAAACACAGTACAACTAAACCAGCCACACCACTGTGCCAAGTACAGATCGCATCCTCATGCAGTACTGGACCACTAAAACCCACACAGTGCTTAGTTGAATGGCGTGTAATAAAAAAAATACAATTAACGGATTAATGGAGTGTTAGACCCACACTAGAGAGTAGCAGTCAATGAACAGGAAGCACTCAGTAAAGAGGCTTCCTGTTTATTCACAGACTGGGGAGAAAGTAAATATTTACTATCTCCCCAGTTATTGATAAACAAGAGGTGATCTGTACAGAGCACCTACTCTCCATTCATAACCTGAGGAGATAGTAACTGTTTAGTTTAAGATAGTAAATGTCCCCAGTCATCAATGAACAGGAAGCAATGTATAGCACTTCCTGTTCATTCATAACTGGGGGCATAGTAAGCAGTTGGTATCTCCTCAGTTTTTTAAAAAAGGATCAGCAAATATTTTGCATATTTGCTGATCCTCTCCGCTCAGCATCCTGAAGCTCCGCCCCACTCGTCAGTCACTGGAGCTTTCCTCCCACTTGGTACCCTAACTGGCCCCTGTCACTGTTCTCTACTCCCCACTGGGCAGCAGCAAGTGGATTGGTTCTGTATCCCTTCCGATCCCAAACTGCTTCTGCTGACACAGACGGGTAGAGCAGTGGGGATTGGAGGGCACACAAGCCGATCATGATGCTGGCGCTCAGCAGGGAGGAAATAGCGGTATCGTTGGCTGTGGCGACAGCGAGGGGGCTCTTTCTGAATGAAAAGCTGTCATCAGCGGACATAAAATTTTGCCTAGAATAGAACCCTTTCTACCTTTTTTGCCCTGTCAAGACTTCTGGTACTTCCCTGAGAGTTGATTCGCGTCACTGCTGTGGCGTTGTCTAACTGGATCCTGATTGGATTCTAACTGTAACCCACCAGTCAGGATATCCAGCAATGTAGAGACAACCAAATCACCCAGAGCTCCAGAATGTTGATCATGAGATTCCTCCAGTGTCCAAGTCCCCTGCACCAACAAGTTTGTCTGCGACTCCTCCTCAGCTCATGAGGCTGCCATCCATTGTGGAGAACCTCCAAGATATCGAAAAAGTATTTTCATCTCTGTGTAAAAACAGTGGTCTCTTAGCAAACATATCCACTGCTGTGTCAAACCTATAGCTCTGTATTCTGCAAAGCTCATGCTCTCTATTGGCTAGGGTGCTATGGCTCTTACATATTGCTGGTGTAAAACACTAACAAGAAAAACACAGTGAGGAAAAAGAAGAGAATGGAGCAATATGCAGAAAAATAGTAGGGATCCAGGGTATACATTTTTTTCATATTTGGTGTCGGAGAGGAATTTTTCCCACTTCCACTTCTACTTCTGAGATATAAGTGGCTGAAATATATATGAAGTTTTTCTTTGGCTGCCTCTGTAGGCAGAGAACAGTGATTCTAAATGCAGACCTTGGTAAGCTTTAGATACCGGCAAGTTAGACTTCACAATGGATCTTCATAACTCGTGCACCTTTAGATGTGTTTGTCTTCTTGATGTATACAGTTTGCTTTTTTTTTTCAATTGCAACTAGTATAAGTACCTGCATTGGACTTGCTATCCAACTATACAGCAGGATTCAGGCTGGCAAAGGGAGAAGAGACTGGCCAGGCATGATTTAAACATTTTCTTTGTGCTGATCACTATTGTTCACTTCTAAGATAAGAAGTAGCTTCTTCTAGTGCAATCTTCTTCTTCTTCTAGTTCTTCTTCAGTACACACAATGCAGAAGCCAGTGTTGTAATCTTTTAACCGTTTGTTAGGGCAGACAGTGCTAAAATTTACTTTACAATAATAATAATAAACACACCTTTCACCCCTCACAACCCCTGCTAACATTACAAATCCAAATATTGCAAAATATTATATTTAGCTTATGCTATGTGAATAGGAACATTTAACAAATATAAAATAAGTGTTATCCTAATTTGGCTGTGAAAGTGTAAATACACTTTAAGGCGACAGAGAGGAAAAGGAAGTAAAAAGTGCAGTGCAACCTATCTGGATAACCCATTGCCGACCTCAAGTTTGCCAAATAAACATACTTGTTAGTTAATAAACATACTTGTTAGTTAAGGCCAAAGTCCTGGCTGTTAGTTAAGGTCTAAGTCAACCTTCTTGCCTCTTCCTCACGTATTTTCTTTTTAAATAATGTGCGGACATAGCTTTTTTCTTGAGGATGGTCACGTGATGTCACAGGTCCTCCCCTTTTTCCTTAGAAGGTGGGCTCCAGAGAATATAATTTATACAATGACAGCGCGGTTCTATGCAGCATTCTCCTATTAGCATAGGAAGGCTTGGTGATGCACTCCCAGATGGAAGTGTCCTTGACAACCTGGAAGTGGGTTCAATAATGCTGGGTGCCACTTATCTGGGAAGAGGACTGACACTGGATTGCAGAGCAGAGTCTGTGGAAAATGGTGCCGGAATAGGGTAATGGTGCCGGAATAATGGATTTTTTTAAGATGAAGTTAGGCTTTGAAGGAAACTCCCTCCTTCTGAAATTCTAGTCATGCTAACCTCAACGATTCTCTACTTTTTGAGTTGCTGACTTGAAGTAAGTATGCAGATCAGGAAGTACGAAAGCCAGAGAGAGCCAGGCACCTAGTATTTTTAGAAGGCAATGGCAGCCCCCACAATTTATACAATATGTGTTTTTTAAATAAAAAAAAGTCTAGATCTACTTCATAAATACATCACAAAGCACAAATTATTTTATCTGAAATATGGCCCTCCTTGCCATATTGTCTTGAATTGTATTGTAATTGTGATGTCTTCCTTATATTGTAAAACGCTGAGCAAACTGTTGGCGCTATATAAATCCTCTATAATAATAATAAACATATACAGTATTTCTCCCTTTAACATCAACTGGTCAATTACCATTCTGCTTTTGTAGGAAGCCAATAACTTTCTCCAGCACAGTGGTTTTGTCCATCTTGCGGGTGTTTCCAGGCAGCATGGCGCTAAGTTCCTTGATAAGCACATTGAACTGGTCCCTTCTCTTTTTCTCTGATCTGTTACGTGAAGCCCTGAAGATTGTACAAAAAAAAAGCTTTATAAAACATTTTATAAATAGTATATAGTTTAACATAACTGGCCTAACTTACTGCATGTTTGAGAAAGAACTGTGTTGCCCGTTGTAATTAATTAAAATTATATTTTCCAAACTACAGTAGACAAACGAAACTCGTCTTTTGAAATAAAGCCCGTAGCACTGCCTCCATCAGCTCATCCCTCACAGTTATTACCTTTTGTATTACCTGCCCTTCCTTTTTAAGTTGGCCAAATACCAGTCAACTTTTGTTCCAGAAATGTTGTTTTCAGAATGTTCAATTCTCCAATATGTAATGGGGTCAAATCAACAATTAATTTTGACCGTAGTGATTAATTAAAATGAAAGAATTAAACATTTTACTCCAACGAATGAAATTCTCCATATCCAAAATCAAATATTACAAGCAAGCAAAATTTTTAATAACATTTTTTCAGTCTCTAATGCCATTATCGAATGTTCTGATTTTTCGTATGAACATTCATATGAAAATCTACTAGGGTACAGTTAGTTGTTATCTCTCACCAGCAGGACCCTCCTAATCCTCTTGTATTAAATTGTATTGTAACTGCACTGTCTCCCTTTATTTTGTAAAGCACTGCGCAAACCGTACGCACCTCATAAGTCCTGTATAATAATTATATACAACAGACAAGTCAGATTACATGGAATCCCTCAACGCCTTCCAGCAATATCATGACCGGTCCATACAATAGGTACCTGAAGACTCAGTACTGCAATATGTGTTGCGATTGGGAGTATGTGCCCATGTGTTCTGACTTTTCGAAAATTGGTATTTTTAAAGGGCATTTACGGGGTTCCTGGGATTTTCTGCAGGGTCAGAGTGAAAAAAACCCAGTAATGACAAGTTTGCTTTGACTCAATACATATATCTTACCTCTTTGCCTTATCCTTCTCATCTTTGTCCATTAGCTTCCTTATGCAGCTATTCCTGTGAAGAGAGACAGGAGTTGAAGTTTACATAGTAAAATCACACACAGGGTTATTCACAAAAGGGTGAAGAGTTTGGAGAAGGCAGGAGAAGGGAACAATCTAGGACAACATAGCTGAGCTGGAAAGTGAGCTGAATTGGAGAATTTTTCCAAATCAGCTGTTGTCCTAGATTGTTCACTCCTCCTGCCTTCTCCAAACTCTTCACCCTTTTGTGAATAACCCTGTCAGACTTTGCTGTTTCATTTGAAACAGAAAACACAGGAAGCCGGCCGGGATGCAATACATTGCATTCCAGCTGCTGACCGCTCTGGAACGCGCTGTTTATGGCGTGAACAAGCCCTCAAGGCTATGTTCACACCTTGTCCGGACCAGATCTGGAGCAGATCTGCAAACCCAGTGCAGTGCGTTTTTGCTGTTTTGTTTTTTTTTTAGCTTAGTCCATGCATGCTAATTAATGTGTTGTAATTATAGGTATTTATTACCTTTCAAACAGATCACAGCACTTCCTCCCTCTGCCACACAGACAATAAAATAATATGTTTTTGCCATGTCTGTTCATGTAAATACAGGTGCCTGCAGTTTGCTGTGTCTGTAGAACGTTTCGCTCCTCTCACTTTGTGCACTGTCAAAAAGTTACAAATGTAACAGCAGCCCCAGTAAGTAATGACAGGATAAGGCAAACTGCAGATACAATTTACTCTTGCCTGCAGAAGAGCAGGCAAGAGTAAAACGCGATCGCATACGAAAATCGGCCGATATTAGTAAGGTGTATGGGCAGCTTTAGGTGGACTTCACTTGCAGGATCAACAGATATTTGATGGGACTTTGCAGGGGTACTATGAGAAGACTGTTAGTGCAGCACATATTTGTTTCTCCTAGAGGCCATAGTGCTGCTTTAAATATTAGTGTTGATGCATTTTTTGATAAGCCAGAAATGTATTCCTCCAGACTTGGAAAGTCACTGCTGATAGGTTCTCTTTAAAGCCTAACTAAACATTTAGTTTAAATCAGCTAAATACATTTGGGAAGAGGGTAGAAAAACCTGTTTCCTGCCAGCATGATGCCGAATGGTAAGGCACAAAGTAAAACTATGCTTTTAACAGTAGGAAAACTTCAACGGCAGCAGCTGGTATGCTCACTTAAAAGTTCATAGAAGATAGATAACCAATGTAACCTCTGAGCTGCACCTCCCTTCCACCTCCAACAGGTCGCACATTCACCAGAACAATGTGATTGAACTGTGTAAAGACACAATTTGTGTATATTCAGATTCATCCCATAGAAAAAATGTCATCTATATGGTGTGCCCAAATAAAAATGGCAATTTGCCATAAACAAATTGGCCATGCTGGGTGAAAATGTAGCCAATTAGTAAACTAAATGTAAGAGTTTTGTAAATGATAGTCTCTGATAGTCAAAGGAAGTTGTAAACCTCATTCATTTTATTTTATTAGTTTTTTTTATTTATTCCTTTTAAGTCTATCCCTGACCAGGTCAAGCAAACATTGACAGGGACAGCAGTTTTAATATTCAATTTAAAAATCCTCAACTTAGGGCCGGTTCACACCAGAAAGTCCGCGTTCCTGTGTGTTCAGCCTCTAGAACACAAGCTGGCCGGTTTCCTGCATTCGGGGGCTGGGGGGGCGTGACTGTGCATTGAAGTCAATGGCACCGCAGCCCCGCACCCCACCCACAGTGCAATCACCAGCACCCGGAAAGCAGGCACATTAGTGCCTGCATTCCGGGTGCGGGCGATCGCACTGGAATGCGGACTTTGTGGTGTGAACCGGCCCTTAAAGTTCTGTTCTATTTGTGGGAGCTTGCAGAGGAATATGACCCCTGTATTTTGTTTCATGGCATGACACACTCAGGTAAGCAAAGAGAATAGTACCTTTGAATCATACATGGTAAAGAACTAGTGATAACAACTCCCTTCCTCCAGTTCATCCCACAATACCAGATTTCTACCCCTCATCACAACATTTTTTATATATTTTCAGATTTATTTTTTTAATGATTTTTGTTATTTAATGTTTTGTTCATGAGACCATTCCTGCCCAAATCAAGAAAATATGGGCAGGGACAGCAACGCAGATTGGGTAAATATATTGGCAGCTGGGAAGGATGCTACAAGAGGAAACAATTACATTTTGTGGGCCACTACATTTGGTGGGAGACTCATTTTATTCCCCCTTCAGTCCTCATTAGCCTTTCCCTGTGAGTCTTTCTTCAGGGACAAGTGGAGAATGGTAGGCAGCAGCACAAATTAGGGAAACAATCCTACAATTTTAGACTGCCACCCTTACCCAGAGTGAAGCTTTGAGACTCAGAGCAGCACTTGCCAATATCCACAACACCCTCTCCAGTAACCACCTTCCCGTGGCAGGTTTCCCTCCCCCCAGTTACTGCAGCAAAAGAAAAAAAATCCCGAAACCACCCCCACACCCAGCACCTGAATGTGAGATTGGCAAAGCTTATTGGTACTTTAACTGCTTCTGTCTCAATATTTGGCCTTGTTCTTACTGTCTTATGTCTCCACATTTAGGCCTGTGCTTGTTTTGAAAATATGGTGAGAGAGATGCCAATTCACACAAGTCCTGAGTATAAGGAGCTGCCTGTAATTAACAAGCACATCCTTCAGGGCCAGTTCACACCACATCCAGATCATCTTCAGACCAGACCAGACTGTTTCCGGACCCAAAATGCATCCTAATATATCCCTATGCTATTTCTGGCCTCTGTTCACACTAGTGCAGTCCGTTCCAGACCAGATCAGAACAATACTGCATGTCTCATTTTCTCTGGTCTGGAATGCACTGGAACGCATGCAAATGCATCAGAAACTCATGCAAACGCTCTGGAATTGCGTCCATTTTAAACTTTAAAAAAAAACAGCTTCTGAAACGCAGCAAAATCGTGGTAAAATCGCAGCAAAAACGTGGCAAAACGCAAAGCACTGCATTCCAGATCTGGTCCAGAAAATGGTGTGAACCTGCCCTTGAAGAGTGATGGACTTTCTGCAAAATGAATACCAAGTTGTGGCCATTAGGTACACTAAGTAGGGGCACATTTTTAAAGCAGCGAATGTGACTTTTACCAAAGATGCACTGGTGGTAATTAAATCACTGTCATTTAAAACACATGCACCAGGAAAATTTGCCAGTAGTGATTGTTTGGTGAATGTCAGATTAACCAAAAAAAACTGACTTGCGTTTACAGATAAATGGCCTATTGGAACATCTCACATACTGTCCTGTCTCTCCTCAGTTGTTTTCACAAGTGTATCTGAATTCTAATTGTAGAAAACACACCTTCTTTGCGTGTATCTGCAGGGTTTTGACTATTGCTGCTTGTAGTCATTTTTTTTCTGGAATAAAAAAAAAAAAGGAGTATATCCTTTTTTTTTTGTTAGCTACACACAAAACAAGCAGTTAACCCTTGCAGTGCTGGGGTAGCCCAACTGCAGGGGTTAATAAAAAAAAAATTCTGGAGTTCTTTAATAACTGAAGAGCTAGCTATGAATCAGTTGCTGCAGACAGATATTAGTTTTAAGCTGCCCATACACCTTACAATTATCTGCAGATTTTCTGTGGTCCGATGGAAAAGGTGCAACAGATTGGCCCAGGTGGAGATTACTCCATCCACACAGTTATGTGTAGATGGAGGAATCTGTTGCACCTTTTCCATCTGACCACAGAAAATCTGCAGATAATTGTAAGGTGTATGGCCAGCTTTACAGATCTGTAAATACAGGTATGGTACAAAAGAGAATTTCCCCTAGCACTTTACTCAAGCTCAGATTGTAAAAATGCAACTGAAGCCAATTTTCAGTTTTGATAAAGTGGAAAGGAATTAGAACACCTGTCTGGTTTTTATTGCTCCCTGTGTCCCCGTTGGAGAGAATTAGCCTCTCTATTTGTCCCTTTGACCTTTATCACTGAAAGTGAAAGAAAATCCCACATTTTTTGTCACTAGAACAGGAATACATGAGATATCTTCCAATAGGGACACTAGTTGGGGTGATTCTGCTCACCCCCATAGATTTCCCTCACTTTGGAAGGACTTTCTCTTGCTTCCTGTTGTGGCTAATGGGCAGGAAGCGAAGGATAATCATCCCACAATGGGGCACAGATGACAAACAAAAGCTGACAGAGGTTAAAACCCTGCCCCACACTATGCAAAACCAGAAAAAAAGTTTTTGCTTCAGTTCTTCAAAGTAGATGCAAACCCAATCACTCAAATCTCATATAGGCTTTAATATAATATTATAACTTGGAAGGCCTTTTTTCTAAATTGCTAACTTTCATGAAAACAATAGTTAAGGACACTGATATAATGGTCCTTATCTGGACACTATGGGGGTGATTTACTAACCTAAACACACGCACGCACTAGGTGCGTGTGATTTGTACACAGCAAAACGTATTTATCAACCAAAAAGTCTCTAAAAGAGCTAATTTACACAACATCACCTTGCAATTCATGCAGGGCTTTGCACAACACACCTGCTGGGTGTGTACACACTACAAAGGTGTCTAGATTCCACCAATAGATCATGCTGGGAGGGAACACACTACAGAGGTGTATACTTGTTTGTGGCGTGTTTATAAGGTTAGTAAATCAACCCCTTTCTGTTATGTGTTGACAACTGATATGTTAGTATCCTTGTTTTAGCCCTTTTTGTATTACGCTGTAACTCTAGATAGGGTTATAACCTTTACCTACCCCCACAATTCCAAAGATACACAGCATTGTGCTACCTACATGACATTTAGTAAGAGTTTATATCTACTTTAACAGCCCTGCCAGTGCCTAAAGCCCTACACTGATCTCTCCCTATGAAGTTTGTCAGTAGCACTCTCCATACTTTCCCCATGCTATCACAGATAAAGCACATTGCCAATTTGGCTGCTGTGACCTCACCTTTTTATAGTGAGGGGGCTGACACATTCAAAAGCCCCCTTATTGGCCCTTCTAAGCCAGTTTCTCTGTTCAAAAACCAG